TACGGCGGCACCGCCCCTTAGTATCCTCGTAGTTCGCGCGCCGCACCACGAAGTCCTCGTTTATGAGCCCCCTAAAGTACGGCTCCGCGCGCCGCATTTTGTAGACGGCGCTGAGGAGGTGGCAGAGGCGAGGCACGTCGTGGAACTCGGAACACGTGGCGAGAGCGGCCATTGGGCGCTTGTTGCTTCGCTGGAGCGCGTGCAACGGCGGTAGGTCCAGAGGATGCAGCAGCAGGGACAGCAGAAGATAAGTGGTAATTGCGGGAACATCGACATGGTATTTACCAAATGAAGGCACTTCCTGAAGTTTTACTCCGAATAACTACAACAAGTATTTCACGGATAGGAAATTACAATGCTTCAGACTCTAGAACCTGAGAGGCAATGCAGGCGCGAGAGCTAACAGCTGACACCGCGATAATGATTATCGTCCTGTGACTGTCGTGGGGGGGGTAATGAGTAGTTGTGCTGCGATACTAAAATAGGAGCGCTTCCCGTTTTGGAGGCAGTGGGGGGGGCACAACACGGCCGTGCAAAGAGGGGCACGCGACAATTCCCATCATGTTCGTCTTGTGCGCGGGAAGAAACCCGATTGGTGGACGAATAGAAACCTGGCGAAGATATCCTGACGCGAGGAGGTGTCGGTGTTACATACCAGCGCCCTTTCGAAAAACATAAGGGGTGTTCCGAGAATTGAACTCGGGACCTCTCGCACCCTAAGCGAGAATCATGCCACTAGACCAAACACCCACGGTGCTGGTTTGTCATTTTATTTTGTGTTTGCTGATTAACCATACAGCCACACGTTCTTGGGATCAACTATCGAGGCAGCTCACCCAGATCGCGTGCCTATGGAGGCTTCTAAGTTTCTCGAAAAAATCGGCCGGGCCTCGCCACCGGGCTATAAAATCCGCCATGGCTCCTCCTCTCAAACACCACAGCACCACTTCAGCTGTTCAATCTCGCTCTTCACCAGCGTCTCCCTCATCGTCGTCCGAATTCAGCACCGTGGTTAACTCATGGCTATTTGCGCGACTCCTCTTGGTCGTACCTTGCTTTTGCTGGGGCTCGCCCTGCTCGGCCTATTCCTGGCCGTTCATCGCGGCATCGAGGCGCGTGCTCCGGAGTCATCACGGCTGCCAGCACGTCGAATCTGTTCGGCGGTCTCTTCTCCTTCAGCTCGATGCAGAACCTCGATGTTACTGACGGCGGCGCCATCTCCCTCACGTTAGACCGCGTTGGAGGTACGTATCTGTAAGAATAAGAGTCAACTTAACAGGAAAATCTGGGTGTGCAGTTGACTGAATCTGGGAGCCTCGTTTTCGGTGCTGTGCAGGCGCGGGATTTGAGTCGCGGCGGGCCTTCAGCTTCGGGACTTTCAGCGTGGACGCGAAGATGCCGCGAGGGTACTCCGCTGGGGTGTGCGCCACCTTCTTTGTACGTCCCTCCCGTTGCACCCTGCTTGAGCACGCGAGAAAGAATGCTTGCTTGCACCTTTTGTAACAACTCTGCTTGTGCCGTTGCATGTGCCTGATGGTCATGCACGTGTTGGTTGCACGCTGCATGTTAAGAGCGTGTTACGTACCCACTTTTTGGTGGCTGGTCGAGGCAACCAAGCAAGATCACCGCACACTACCGATGTTGGGTGTTTTGTCAACGCATAATACCGAAGTTTCTCCAGGATCAAAATTGCCCCGTTGGGTCGACCGTCGCAAGCGCTCTAAACGTAGAAACTGATTTGTTTCCCCTGCTCCCGAATTTTTTTGCATGCGTCTGCAGCTGCAGTCAGGCGACTACGAGCATCGCAACGAGTGGGACTTTGAGTTCCTGGGGTCGCCCAACAACTCGCGAGGCATGACGCTGCAGACCAACGTGTTCATGAACGGCCAGGGCAACCAGGAGGTGCTCACCGCCTTTGCCTTCGACCCCGCCGCTGCCTTCCACACCTACACCATTCAGTGGGGCCCAGCGGACCGTGTGAGTGCCTCTTTCCACCACAGTTACATTAACCATTGCCCGATCGCCTCTCTTCAACAGCAGCAGCAGCTACCTTTTGCCTATTTCTCTTTGCTGTCAGCTGGCACCTGACAGCGCTTCATTCAAGCGTTTGAGCAACATTGAATTCACCTGTGCCTGCCATCTACCGTGTAATGTCAGGTGGCTGGTGGACGGAGTGAACATCCGCACAGTGAGCAACGGCAGCCCGCACTACCCCAAGGACCCCATGAAGGTCTACTTCAGCATCTGGGACGCCTCCCCCTGGGCCACTGGGCCCCGCACCGCCCGCATCCCCGTCAACTACGACTATGCTGTGAGCACACCTGTTACTTGGAGCTTGTGTTCATGTTGCAGCGCCGTCACTGCGTATTCATGTGTTGCTTTTTTCTTGCTTGCAGCCTTTCACTGTGACTTTCAAGAACTTCAAGTACACTCCGCTGTCTGCAAACTGATGGGACCGTGCCGGTGGTCATGGACTCATGGGATGGAAGTTGGTTGGGTTGAGGCAGAGATTGCTGCAACTTATCAATGTGTAATAAGAGGATTATGTACACTATGCCATATTGTACAGATCTTATGAGGTTGTGGCCTCACCACAACAGTTTGTAAAACAGACGTGTTCAAATCAATGGGGGGGTTTGGTCCAGCACGTAACAAAGTGAACAATACTATGATAATAACATCTGTGTGAAATGGGTTATAACATCTCTCAGCGCTAAGATGCACTTCACTACGGTGTGACTAGGTTCACAACCTGAAAAGCGGATGGCAAATCCTCAAGTTTTCACTGACGCGCTCATCCCAGCCCGCTCACATTCGGGCATGCGCGCAGCATTGGGCTGGTTCAAGGGGACGCGCGGTATGCCATCCATGCTCCGCGCAGACAACGCCCCCCATGCCATCCTCGCTTCTGACATTCCCAATACCCAATGAATCTTGAGTCGGCTCCAAGCTTCTAAGCCCTGCGTTGCGGAGCACGGCCTCTTTCTTGGCTCCCACCCACTCGCGCGAGTCGTTAGGTGGAGTCGCGATGAGGCATCTCTCTCGATTGCAAGCCCAATGCCGCGCACCACACACCCGTTCCGCCTGCCAACAGCGCTGCTGCTCTCCTCTCTGCTTCTTCTATCGGTACCGATGCTGCCGCGCAGCAATGCTGAATTCGGTACCAAGCCTGCTGCGAGCCTGGCACCTCGGTAGGGACGGTAGACCCACGCGAGGTCGTCGAAACCATCTCCGAGTCGCTGAGCGATCTTGCCGCCGCCGTGAATTCCGGCGATGCATGCGGCATTCTGGACTTCTTCCCTGAAGCTTCGTCAATACTTCCTCCTCATTCCCCAGAACTTCATCTCAACGAGAGCGCGCTGCGACTGGGCCTGGTGCAGCAGTTGCTGGCGCTCGACATTAGAGTGCGCTTTAATGTCCTCGAGGCCTGGGTGGGCAAAGGCGACCCGGGGAGAGTCAGAGACGCGATCCGGATACGAACGCGAGGAGATCCGACGAAAGGGTCAGCGCCAGCGACAGCGCAACAGCAGCAGCAGAGAGGGGAGGAGGAAGAAGGAAGAGGAGGGCGCGGAGGGCAGTGGGGCGGGTGGGGAGGGCGCGGAGGGCAGTGGGGCGGGTGGGGAGGGCGCGGAGGGCAGTGGGGCGGGTGGGGAGGCGCGCGTGTGCTGCGCGGCGGTGACCTGTTCGCCGTGGCTCGCATCGCATTCACAGCGAACTGCCTTGGCGCGACGTGGCGGGGCGGCCAGGCGAAGCAAGGAGGCGGCGCGCGGGGAGGCGAGGCTACGCCAGGCCGTGAGGGGGTCGAGGAAGGAGGCGAGGAAGCTTCCGTGTGCGAGTCAGCGTGCGTGGAGGGGTCTATTTTGGCCACGTGGCACAGATCTGCTGAGCTGGCGCGCAGCGGGGGCAAGGTGACGAGGCATGAAAGCGGGGGCTTTGAGGGCGAGAGCGGTTTGGGATGCGATTCTGGAGGGGCAGGCAATGACCACTCCAACGTGTGGCGCCTGCACTGGGCCGCCTGGAACCATGCCAACTGCCAGAACCGCGGAGCACCGCATTCCACCGCGTGGGGCGGTGCGGAGGGGTTGGTGCAGGTGGGAAGCGAGGGGCGGGCTAGCAGGAGGGTGCGCGGCAGCTGCTGGTGACGCCAGAGTCCACCGCTAAGCTTACTGCTGCACCCGCTGATCTCAGCAGCGTGGGGGGTGACGTGCGCAGCAGTGCAGTGCAGGCGCAGGAGGGTGGTGCGCGCGGCCCTGCCAACCCTGCCAGTGTCATGCTGGGCCATGGGGGCGCAACGATGCAGCAGGGGGTACAGCAGGGAGTGCAGCAGGGGGTGGGGGCTGGGGTTAGTCCGGAGGGGTTGAGGGGGGGTTGTGCGCAGTGGAAGGTAGAGGCAGCACTGGCAGCACTTACAGTGGCACTGCTGAATGGCAATGCCACCGCCGCTGCACAGATATTCGTCCCCGGTGCCGTGCTCTTCCCCCCGGCCTCCCTGCCCCTCACACTGCACACCACTGCACAGGCGGCAGCGTGGCTGCAGCCAATCACGGGCCGCCGGCTCATCTTCCAGCCCCAGCTGGAGGAGCTGCTCGTGCTGCAGGCTGCCACGTGGCATGCTCTAGAGGGTGACACGTGGCATGCTCTAGAGGGTGACACGTGGCATGCTACGGCGCTCCAGGCGGCAGCAGCAGCAGTTGGAGTGGGGTCATTAACCGACCGTGGTGGTGACACGAGGCGTGTACCGGCTGTGGGAGCTCAACGGTAAGGCTGCTGCCTGCCTGCGCTCTGCTTGTGCCTGCTACCTCCTTTTCCTGTCCTGCTTGCCTCGTTACTACTTTGAGCCGTAGCGCTTACTGTTCACCTTGTGTGTGTGTAGCGGGCATGGGAGCAGGGCTGGAGGAGGGGCAGGGCAAGTTCGTGCTGCTGTGGGAGAGCAGCAGTGAGGGTGACAGCACTGCAGCGCTGCATCGCAGCAGCAGCAGCGGCAGCAGCAGCAGCGGCAGCAGCAGGAAGGAGATGATTTCCGCGGCACTCCAGGGGAGAGAGCAGAGAGCGAGTGACGAGTCCCCAAGGGAGGGTGCAGAGGCATCAGCTTGGCAAGAGAGGAGCCATACTGCCCCTCCTTCCGAGTGGCCAGGGCCCTCTGGAACTCCGACGTCCCTGCTGTGCCCCCCGCCCCCTCCCCCGCTTCCCCTCCCTCCCCACCCTCCCCCCCCTCCCCCCCTGCCCCCGCCTCCCCTCCTCCTCCTCCCCTTTCCCCTCCCCCCCCGCCACCCGGCCCCAAACGCCCTCCCCTCCCCCTCGTGCTCCTGGGAAGTCCCCCCCACCGCCTCCCACTGCTCGCCGCCTCCCACCCCCTCGCCTCGCCGTCCCCCTCCCCCTCGCCGGCGCTCCCCTCCCCCCCCTCCACGGCCGTGAGCACCTGGGGGGGTAGTGAGGAGAGCAGTGTACGGAGTGGGAGAGAAGAGCGCAGAGAAGGCTGTGAGAAAGCAAAGCGTGTGTGGGAGATGTGGTATCAGCACGGTGACTGCTGGCATGACTGTGCAAGACAAGGTAGTTGCTGCTGCACGTACCAAGCTTGTGGATTGAAGGCGTTGATATATCTGTGGCAAATCCTTTTTCCAGGGAAAGGAGTATTCTGGATGCTTAATCAGCTGCTTCTGGCCTGAAATGTACCATATTGGTAGTTGACCATTGAATCAGGCTGTTCCATGTGTGCATTTCCAAGTCAGTGCATCCCAGATAGGTGTGTGAGATCTGTGTGTGTGCGGAGTGCATGAACGTGGATGCTACTGATCAGTAAGGACGTGCTTCACCAGCCATGATCCCACTGATCCCACTGAATGGCAGTGGCGTGGCAGCATTGAACCTTGCCTTGCAGGCAACTGTTCATACATGCGACACAGTGAGCTTGGTTGAACCACCTACACATGGCATGAGGCAAGTCCCGCAGAAACCTAAGATAATTACACACACAGCAGCATTCGCCAACTTGCTTTATAGTTTCACGTCACAGGAAGCCCCATCCTTTCGGCTACCATGCAAGTGCAGCGCGATGCTGGCATGCGCATGGTGAGGAAACAGCCCCACCGAGTCAGGCGTCATATGCCCCCTCCTTTGTGCTACCATGCAAGTGCAGCAATGGTACCACTAGTGTGCACATCCCCACGGAGGCAGCCCCACGGTAGCTAACACCACGTGCCACAGCTCCTCCTCTACCCTGTGAATGCAGCGATGGTGCTCTGCACATAGTCAGCAGGCAGACCAACAGCATCCATCGCCACGCGCCACAGCTCCTCTGCAGCCCTCTCGTTGCGCCCGTGCGCTGCCACCTCGCCTCGCCGCCCCTCCAGGTCAAAGTAGGGCCCCGATAGCAAGCCTTGCTCGCGCACTGCCCTCGCTTGCTCGCCCACTGCCGCGTGTGTGGCGCAGTACAGGGGTGCCAGGGCCCCTGGGGGACAGTAAGTGGGGTTGGGGTGAAATGGAAGCGAGTTTTTTCGAGGTGTAGTTTATGGAAGTGTGAGGAAATGGAGGGAGGACGTGGGGAAGAGGACAGATGCAGGAGGTTAGAAAGGACGGAGTGGCAAAGACACAGAACTCTGCACGCCTAGAATATTCAGTGTGTCGAACAAGCAATATTGGTCGATCCCCACCCCATGCATGCGTGAACGCAAATTGGCATGCGTGGGGTGCAGAGGGCGGGTGGGCATACCCTGCCAGGGCTCGAGAAGCAGGGCGTGCATGACGGCACGTTGCAGCTCCTGGATGAACCTGGGGAGAGTGCGCGCCTGCATGGGGTCACAGGCACGAGGACACAGGCAGCGGAGGAGCGATGGGAATCATGCGGCTACAGCGGAGATACGACCATAACAGCTGGCGAAGAATTTGAAGGAGGTGTGGATGGGGAGGAGCGATGGGTGTGAGCAGCGGATCAAGTGTGTGAGGGCGCACGTGACTGACCACGTTGGTGAGCACCTCCCCTGGGTGCACCGCCACCACGTCTATGCGCGCGCTGGCCGGCAGGCGGCGCTGCAACACGTTCGTCAGCATCAGCTGATGCCGGGCGCGCAGGGGAGACGGATGGGGGAAGATGGGGTGGGAGAGAGTGGGGAGAGAGGAGGAGGGACGGAAGCGAGAATGGGTTTGGTAACGAGGAAGGGAGGGTTGCACAGAGAGCAATGGCAGATAGGACCACGAGAGTGAGAGCGAATGGTGTAGCGATCACGAGGTTAGGCAACAGGCAGCACGTTTTGAAGCAGGGAGCACACCTGAGCGAGCTTGCTCTGGTTGTAGGCGGCTGTGGCATTGAAGCGCCGTGTGCGCCCCTTGAAGCTCAGATCGCCCACGTCTAGATCGCCCCATGCATGCATCTGAGGGGGCGGGAGGGAAGACAAGGAGAGAGGAGAGTGAGGCTGTGCATGTGCGTGCGGGGTGAAAGAGGGTGCCATGAGGGGACTGCCATGAGAGGACTGCCATGAGGGGAATGCCATGAGGGGAATGCCATGAGGGGAATGCCATGAGGGGAATGCCATGAGGGGAATGCCATGAGGGGAATGTCATGAGGGGAGTGCCATGAGGGGTCAACTCTACGCACAGCCAGATTGGGAAGTGCTTAGAGTCGGCCATGGACGGCAGCAGGTAACAGATCAAGTGCTTCTCATTCACCGCGGCATGCGGAGCATATAGGTCCTTGTTGTGACTCACAGTGGACGACACGTTGACGATGCGAGCGCCGTGGGCGCGCAGCAGGGAGGGCAGCACAGCAGCAGCGAAAGCAGCAGCGGGCACACGCAGTTCACCGCTATGTGCTCCTCCAACCCGTCCGCTGTCAGTCGCTGGGGGGCTGGGGGGGGGGAAGAGGGACGGGAAAGGCCGAGAGGAGGGACGGGTGGGACAGGCGATGAGAGAAGGAAGGTGAGGTAAGGAGGGAGGAGGGTGGACCAGAATACGGCTCAGGTTGCGTGTATCAGGGCACCCTGGCAGGTGAACTAGCAACGGCGGCGAGGCACGGCCCTCGGCGTCCATCAGCGCACCTCCCATGGAGAAGATCCCCGCGTTGTTCACCAGCACGTGCAGCGGACGCGCCTCCGCCTCCCACGCGCGCGCGAACGCGCGCACCGACGCGAGCGACTCGAGGTCCACCTGGCGCACCTCCGCGCTCACGCTGCCCGCCTCGCCCTCCCACGCCGCGATCAGCTTGCTGGCGGCTTCCGGCCGCCGGCACGCCAGCACGACGTGCGCGCCCGCTAGGACCAGCTGCCTGCGGACCGGGTGGGAGAGCGCAACGGACGAAGGTGGGGGAAGGGATTCAGCTGGCAGTTGCGAGAACGAGTAACTGCTGGGCCGCATGATCTGGCAGGATTCGCAAGTGCTCACTTAGCGATCTCGAGGCCAATGCCGCTGGTGGGACCCGTGACGATGACGGTCTTGCCGCGAATGCTCGGGTCGCACGCCCACTCCGCGATCCCTCGTCGCTTGATCATTCGCCGCTGAACGATGATCTCCCACACGATGCGGATGCATGCGACGATCTGCTGCCACAGGCCCACCCTGATGCGCGCCAATGCCATCGCGGCGCGACGACCCTTCCCCTACAAGATTATTGAAACGCAAACAGGGGTGCTATGCTGTTGCGCGAAGGATAGTTCAGAATGAGGCTACGGATTGTCGTCATGTGACAGAGCGTGGTCCAAATTGGTTCAGAGGAGAAGCGATTAATGCCATAGCTGCGATCAATCGGAGTCAGCTAGAAGTTTCTGAGCCTATCCATCGGCAATGTCTCGCTCGGAAGCGAAGGAATTGGGACGAGGGAGCTATGAGCTACGGAGGAAACGATGGTGAGAAGCGCAAGCACGAGAAGGGAACCAATCGTGACCAGAGTCCATGTCGTGAGAAGGTGCTGCTTTTCTATTCAACAGTTTTCCCCCCAGATTCTGTCCCTGTCAGAGGTGACAGTATCGAGCTGCGGGGATCTGCGTGCATGTACGGAACGGCGGGGGGCTTCCACACCTCGCGGAACCCCGAACCTTGATCCTGAGCTACCTCACATCCAGCACCCATGCGCCTGAATAAACCGTTTGGAACCACATTCAGCCGTGCAGTCGTTTGACTCGGATATTTTCTCCGAGCCAAGCTGAGATACAGCCATCCAATCCCTGGGGAAACTGGAAAAGGCTACAAGCAGCTGGCCGTTAGTACATAGTTGATGTGTGCGCAGTCGAAGAATCTTGCTAATGAGAGCAATTGTGCGGGATTTTTTTTCCACGATAACGTCTATAGTATCATGTTGTGAGAATGCTCAGTGTCGTTACGTTCTAGTCAAACACTCCTTTTTCTTTCCTCGCCGTCGCTGTGCGCGTCGCTAAACGGGGAACGGCCGGCCGTGCGATCGTGGGACGCAGGATGATGTACCCCAAGGCCGCAGCGCCGGGCGTGGTTCGGCTTGACCAGATTCCGCGATGGACAGAGCAGGAGTTCGGCGCGGCGGCTCTCGGAGGCTCCGCGCTGGGCGACATCGCGATCGCGGCGGACCTCATGGGGCTCGAGCCGCCAGGAATAGGAGTCACCGCATTAGATGGAGATCCCGGCGCGTCGGGCGCGGGAGTCGCAGCAGGCGCGTCAAGCTACGCGACGGCGATTGCTTCGACGAGCTCGGCGGGCGACGAGGACCCGGGCGGGTTCGACGACCCGCTCTCCGCGCACGGCCTGGAGCTGCGCGGCCGCGGGCGCGGATCCGGCGGCGCGCCGAAGTTCCCGGTGAACGCGGAGCTGAACGTTAAGGTGTACGTGTGGCGCGGCGCGCCGTGGGCGCTGGAAGTGGACGCCGTGGTGAACTCGACGAGCGAGAGCCTCGACCCCGCGCTCTCGTCGCCCGGCCTGCACGACGAAGCCGGCCCGGGGCTCGCCGAGGAGTGCGCCACGCTGGTCCGTGCCGCGCCCCGTCCCGTGCTGTGCCGTCCCGTCCCTCCCTACTGCCGTTGCTGCTGCTGGTTTACGCGTAGGGTTGTCGCTGTCGGGATTCGTTTGCAGGGATGCGTGGGAGGGGGGCGGGGATGTGGTTAGTTGCAGTTCACGGGGTGTGGAGAGCACGGGGCTTGGTCGATAGAGCAATGCGCCCCTGCGTTAGCGAAGACCATGTGTGCGTGAATCTGATCGCTCACGCGCATGTCCGTGTGTGTGCGTGCCGTGCTGTGCGGTGTGCGTGCAGGGGGGTGCAGAACGGGCGAGGCGAAGATGACGGGCGCGTACGAGCTCCCCGCCAGGTGAGCCCCTCTCTACCACTCCCCGCCGCGCCTTCACCTCTCCTCGCATTCCCTCACCCGCCTCATCCCCTTCATTCCCTCACCCCGCCATCCCCCTCAGCCCGTGACCCCGCTCTCCCCCTCACCTCACCTCCCCCACGTCCGTTCCCCATGTCTGTGGACACACGGTGCATAATCACGTGGCAGGCGCGTGATCCACACGGTGGGGCCGCGGTACACGGACAAGTACCAGACGGCCGCCGAGAACGCGCTCAGCCGCTGCTACCGCATCTGCCTCGAACTGCTGCTCGAGAACGAACTGCGCAGGTGGGCGGGGGGGGGGGAAGGGGCGGGGAGGAGGAGACGGAAGGGAGATGGGAAGCGGTGCGGGTTAAGAGAAGGAGGTCAGGGAGCAGGGGTGCTGGGATCTGCTTGGGGCAAAATAATGCTTAAGTTAGAGAATGCTGCAGCTGTTTCTCATTCTTCTCCCTTCTCCTTCCGTCCTGCCAACTTTCCCACCTACGTCCATCCCTCCGCTCTTTTTCCCCTGTTCTCCCTTCCTCACGACAACCCCCTCCCCCCTGGCAGCATAGCGCTGCTGCCCATCTACTCAGAGGCGAAAGGGTATCCCAGGGAGCCCGCTGCTCACGTTGCCATCCGTAAGCCACTCTCTGCCCATCATCTACTACCGTACCCCACCCGCCACGCAATGCTGTGCTATTCCTCCACCACTCATGCTGCAAGCCTCCGCCTTTACACATTCATGGCCATGTTTAGAACATGCGCTCTTAGATTCTGCTCCGTGTTTTCACCATGCTGGTACCTCACACCCTTGCCCGTCCGCCCTCTGCCCACCTGCCCTGCCCCCCTGCCCCGCCCCTCATGTCCCCCCGTGCCCTCCCTGCCTTCCCCCATGCCTTATCAGGCACGGTGAGGCGGTTCTTGGAGAAGCATGGGCGGGGCATGGCAGCGGTGGTGTTCTGCATCCAGACGGACGACGACCACCTCATCTACAAACGGTGCGCGCGCCCCCGACCCACATGCACTCTCACTCTTGCCGCCTCTTTCACTCCACACGTCCACGTTACTCTCTATTTCCTGCGCTCCCTTGCTACCCAATGCAATCCCACGCTCCCTCCCCATTCCCACCCCCTCTCCCCACTCCCATTTCCTCTCCCGCTCCCACTCCTCCACTCCCTCTCTCACTCCTCCGTGTTCCCCCCACTGACCCCTCGCACAGCCCATACAGGCTGTTACCGCTCTATTTCCGTGGGACAACATTGAGGAGGTGGCAGCGCAATCCCTGCTGCTGTTTATCACCAGGCACAGCACAGCAGTTCCTCCAACTCCCTCACTCACTCCTCCGTGCTCCCCCCACTGCCCCCCTCACTCGGCCCGTGCAGGCTGTTACCGCTGTACTTCCCGCGGGACAGCAGCGAGGAGGTGGCAGCGCAGTCGCTGCTGCCAGCGGACGTGGGCGATGAGAATGGCGAGATTGTGATCGCGGAGCGCATGATCCGCATCTCCAAGATGCCCTGCCTGCCCTCCTCTGCCAACAGGTGCGTGCACTGCACACTTCTCACAACACTATCACACACGTTCTCTTGATATGTTTTGACAAAAAACTGAAACTCACGATGCCAATTTGTCCCCCCGTGCCGTGTGCTCGCTCCTCCGCATCTACCCCCCACCCCCAGCGCGTCAACATCAAGTGCGCTCATCCCAGCACAACCTCCCGGGCAGCTGTCCCTCTCCTCCACGTTCGACGACTCGCTCCTAGACCCAGCGTTCATCAGCATGGCCAAGGACCCCGACCAGCGCCGCGTGGAGCAGCGCGAGCACGCCGTGGCGTCGGCACAGACGGGGTGGATCTGGCTGTGGGCGCGCTGCCTGGGGCTCGACCTGGGGGACACTGTGGTGTCGCTGCTCACTGCGGGCGAGCAGCTTGCGCTGCATGGGCGGTACCTGGCACGCGCTGAGAAGCTGGACCTCACTGAAGTGCAGGACATGCGCATCATGTGAGTGCCTCCCACTCTTGCCTGCTGTAGTGTAGGCTGTGGTTGGTGCTGCTGCCACACATGCCATTTGTCTTCATCTTTTGTGTCCCTATCTCACCCGTTGCACAAACACGCATGTGCACGGGGCATGCAGGTACCGGGGCGGCACGGACTCAGCGGGGCGCAGTGTGATGGTGGTGGTGGGGGCGCACTTCCTCGTGCGCTGCCTGGACCTCGAGAGCTTCATCTTCCATGCTGTCAAGGTCAGCCCCGGCCCATCCCACGCTCTGCAGGCGCCCCAACATAGATCGTGAATTGCAGTGGTTGCTCTCATGGTCTTTGGCTATTTCTTAAGAAGAGCCTTGCTTGGCTTTCTGTCTCCATGCTCATCTTTGCTTCGTACAATGTGCATACCTCCACCCCACCATGCGTCTTTCCCAACAGGAGTTTGAGCCCATCCTTCACCGTCCCTTCACCATTGTTTATTTCCATGCCGCCACAACCCTACCAGCGTGAGTTCTCCTTTCTTGTCAGCTCCTCGTGTGAACTTCCACCTTTCGTGTCTCTGATGCCTGATCACCCATGCCTCTTCCACACAGTGCCCCTTACTTTTCGCGCACACGGGTACTCAATATGCCATGCCAACATTCGGCTATGTGTGATGCAATTTGTTTGTGTCATCTACGCCATGGGACATGCATTATCTCATTGGCTGTCCATCCATCCCCGTTGCTGGAATTGCCTACCCCATGCAGCATGGCTGATTATGGGTGGATGAAGCGCCTCCTGAATGTGCTCGGGCCCAAGTTCAGAACGAACCTGCATGTGAGTTCTCGGGCATCTGAGCCTGTTGGCTGTGGCGGTCTGGCATGTCACTTGTGGGTTGCTTTATTGGGTATGTCTTCTCAGAGGGGCCACACTAAGCCATGTCTGAGTGCTGGTGTGTTAGTAGTTTTAAGCTCACGTGTTCCTGGCTGTTGTTTTTGTCAGACGGTGTATGCAGTTCATCCAGACATGCGGCTCAAGGGAACTGTGTGGGGCATGCAACTGCTGGTGGACCCTCTGGTAAGACATGCACAGTCTATATAGTTCTGTGTGCACTGCATGATGCGATGCAAGCATGCATGTGAAATGTTGGATGATGTAAGCTGGTTTGTGACACGTACGTGGCTTCAAACTTTTTCTTTTTCTTTTTCTTTTATGCATTCAGGTGTTCAAGAAAGTGAAGTATGTGGGCAGATTGCTTGAGCTGTTCAGACACGTATCGCGAGAACAAATAACAATACCAGAGTTTGTCTTTATGTAAGTACACAGCCATTGTCCTTGCGTACCATCCTCATTGTTCTTGCTGCCTTTCCAGTGTCCACCTCTTACCTTTGCTGTGCATATGTCTGGTCTGGTTAGCGCCTTTCCTGCTTGTGGGGCCCTTCTGACCATTCCGTCCTACCCATTTTTGCCATGTGGTTCTTTGATTCAGGCATGACGTGGAAGTAAACCCTCAGGATGTGGTAACCATGAGTTTCCAATCAAGGTTTGTTTCTCCACAAGCCCGCCTCCCTGCTCCGGCTTAAAATACAATAGATGTTGGCTAGCATGCATGCCAAAAGTGCTACTGCACCTTTTTTTTTGTCCATACAAAATCAACATTTCTAGTGTCTGATACTTAGTGCCCTCTTCTTTGTCAAAGGGCATGAAACATGTAATATATTTTATAGGACTCGTAGACTTACATACAATAACGAATTTCTTCGAAAGCATTCACTGTCACGCGTCAGCCACGAAACCGAGGCGATATGCGAGGTCAGCAGCACTGACCCGTTCAGAAGTGGCGGCTGTCTTCTGCATTTGAACCCCCAACAAACACAAATCTCGCAACATTCCCCAAGCAGCTTCCCAGTGAGGCTTTCCCAAATGGAGTTTCGTCCAAGGTCATGGGCAGATCACATGGCCTCGCTCTCAAGCCGACCGGCAGGAGGCTCTGGCTTGCCTCCGAAGCCCGCTTTGTCGTCGTTCTGGAGATCTCAACTTTCGCAGAAAACAAAGAGCGTGACCTTTTCGCAAATGAGTGAACCTTACAACAGCCAAGACGTGACAGACTCACAGTTGGATTCGCAACCTGGTGCTGGTTGTTCCCAAAGCCAGGACCAGGGGTTCTCGCAAAGTCAAGCAGACCCCTATATCCAATATTTAAGTCAACCCGAACTAGTGTCAACACCTGTGGAGGAGAACAATGGATGGGTCGGACTAAGCCAGCCAGTGAACTTAATTGTCAAGAAAGAAGAACCACGACCCGCAGTTGTTGAGTCTTCTCTTTGTTTGGAAATGTATGCGGACATTTACAGCAGCCTTGTGCGAGGAGACAAAGACGGGAAGGTGCTCGCATGCACGGGTCTGGACGAGCTGAAATTCAGACGAGGGGATTTGAAAAAGGTGAAGCTTTTGACATACGCTGTTGAATCCAATTTGCTTATCTTGAGCTCATTTGCAGCTGAGCAGGTGCTCGCCATCCACGGCCTTGCTGATGGAAGTTCCAAGTCGAGAAAGGTACGATTGTGTCCATGCCATCCTCACTTCAATGTTATTGTTATTGTCTTACAACCTCCATTGACAGGAAGTCTTGGCTTCTCTGGTTGGAATGCGGCTGTGGCGCCCGTTATGTGAGCTTTCAAAAGCCGTTGAGTCAACGAAAGTACGAATGCCACCTCTTGAAGAAGTAAAGCAAGATCTAATGGCGGTGGGCTGGCTGGATAGTCCTGTCAACGAACTTCTGAAAGTCGAGATGAAGGCCACTGGAGTTGCTGCTGTTGATTTGAGCACGCAAGCGCCAGAGAGCCAAATTGAGCCTGGAAGTCCTCGGACGACAACACTGAAGGGTTTAGAATCCAGGCTTCCTTCTGTGCCAGAGAAAAGCCTTGTGGCTGAAGCTGTGGCAAAGCTTCTCAAGATGGAGCAATGTCCGCCAGTGGACTTGGCCGAGAACGGTAAGTCGGACTGGAGGAATGTGCTCACTCTGACGAGTTCAAGGCCCATCAAACGAGAAGCAGAAGAAACTTCGGATACTGGCAACATGATGGTCATTTCCACACCACGACCTAAGCTTGTAAATTCCGGCACATCCATGGACGATCCGTTTCCTGGGCCCGACCGCCCTATGGAGCGTTGTGGAGACTCTTTGAAGCAAAATTGCACGGTGAGGCTCATCAATTTGACCGTTTTTGTTATTTGGCAAGTTCTGACAGGAATGTCCACTTGACAAGAGATTCTGGTATACCTGAGCAGGCCATGCGCGGGCCTCTTGTTCAATTACTGGAAAAGACTAACAGTACTGGAATAATGGAGCAGAGGAGCAAATGTGGAGTGATGGAAGCGCCCAAGTCCTTGGAACAGCAGCTTATTGTTGATAAACAAAGAAAAACTTCTGTGCATGCAGAGGAAACAGACATGAAAACCGGTATCTGCAACGGCAAAGTACCAGTTTTGGCAACGGCACCACAGATCAAACCCGAACCAGCAGAAATTGCAGAAGAAGTATTTAAAGGGCCTGCTTCTCCTAGCCCTCTTGATGAGCAGATTTCTGGAGCAGCTTCAGTGGACTGGGTATCGTTGGAAAACCAGGTTTTAAGGTTATCGCTCCATTTGCAAATTGACACGAACGAGGTCAAGCCAAACTCGAAGATTGGGAGGACAGTGATAATGGTTTCTCTCAAGGTATGTCTATTTCAAGCGTATTGATGCATTTCTGGTTAGGGGAATTGCATCTTCTCTTCATGCATTGCTGCTGCTGTTCAGGGGGTCAATAGCTCTCACAGGAATGACATCGTGAAGTTGCAGCCTTTAGTCCATGTAGGGAGAGTTATGCGGACTGTAAAGAAGTCCCATATAGACGGAATATGTTCAAAGGATTGCATGGTAAGATGGAAATGCATAAGGCCATGCTTCTGTCCCACTCCCTATGCTGTCAATGCTTAACCAGTTTTCATGTGTGTCATTGCAGAAGTCGCATTCCCCCTTCAGGATTCGTTCTCAAGGAGGGGACCGAGCTAGCATTGCTGACTTGACTGTGGATCTATCTGACAGCATGAGAAAGTTCAGCTGGGATGAATTGTGGACTGCAGCTAAGGCAAAAGACTCCCGTCTTCATGGAGCTTGGGTTATGACAAGCAGGGCTGAGCTTTCTATGACAGAAAGCCAGAAGCATGCGAATGTGCGCCAAAGGCCATTCCTGCACCAGAAAAGGAAGCTGTCGAAAATGGTGAGTTACTAAACGCCAGAACATGTTCGAGCCTGTGTTCTTACTTGCTGCACCAAAAAAGGAAACTGTAAAAAATGGTGAGTTTCCAAACGCCGGAACATGTTCGAGCCTGTGTTCTTTCATCCATTCTTAAGGCTTTCTTTTTTCCAACCCACATCTATTGTGGCAGACCCCTGCAGGTGCATTTCAATAACAAGAACTAAAAGTGGGCTCACTTGTTTGGGCCAAAGATCGGGTTATCTGGTGGCCTGCTGAGGTGAGATCCATAAAGTGCTGTCTTCTCGTTAATGCAGCCTGTAAGTTGCAGTGGCTGACACTACCCACCAGCACAGATAACAATAGCCGCTGACGAAGATGAGCCTTTTGGGAATGTTGAGGTTAAGCTTTTTGGAGAACCCCGAGTCAGGTATGGAGAATCAGCCTTTCAGCTAAATCATGTCATCTCAATCATTGCATTGCACTGAATTCTTTACACTGCAGAATGAACGTGGGGCACTCATCCCTTGAGCCATTTCTGGAAAATGCTGCACGGCACAACTGTGGAAAGCATTCATCTGCATTTAGAACTGCAGTGGCTGATGCGATGCTGAGAGCATCCCCTTCAAAGGAAGTACACGGCTTGGAATGCAGGGAGCAGGCTTCAGCTTCAATTGGGAGTAACGACAGGAAGAAGAGGAGATGAACCAGATCATAATGGAAACGCGTACAGCATGACAAGCTGGTTCTGCCATACACTGGAATGTGACACTCAAAGCTTCTGACAACGGTTCTTCTCCCATCGAAGTGTTCAATACTGGTGCTGAGTGCACCTGACAAACCACATCCCTCAAGACTACACATCTAATGTACAGCCTACATCTGCCCCCCACAGCTCTAGTCATGACTCATGACGCTTGTGGGATGACATTCTCAGGAGGAGGCTGTGAAAGTGTTGTTGCGCGCAGCAACTCCAGGGTCAGCACAAGTCCAAGAAAGTGAGAAAGAGCAGTGTTGCCAGACGCCTGCAAGGAGGCCAGAATGGAAGTAGCAAACATATTACTTGTATTTGTTTCCCTTTCCAAGCTCATTTGTGACTCCTGAGAATTATGAGCATTTTACCATCAACCAGTGACCCAGCAGCAAGAAAAAAAGAGATGATGCTAGCCATAATCATGGTGCTCAGCATGCACGCACCTGAACAAGGAAGACGTCGAGGGCCAGAACAGGGTTGTAGCCGGTGGGAAGGCCAACAGCACCATAGATGGGAGTGGAGGAAGTAAGGGCTTTGGCAACGAGCACTCCAACAGTGGCCTGGAGGCCGAGGAGAGTGGCTCCTAGGCCAAGCAAGTTGATAATGAGGCCATTCTTGAGATTCGCCACCACTGAAGAGCGAGGAGGGGCCTGCAATGTGATCATGCATATGAATGGATGAATAAGACAAATAATACGGCCTCGCCACCCACTGAGCTAAGAGCAGTCTGTCGGCAAGGCAGGGCAGATTCTATATAGTTACCACCATGGAGGAGGAGGGGCGCTCGGGCATAAGCTGGCGTTGCACCATCAAAGGATGCGAGCAAGGAACTCAGGAACTCTAATTGGCCCACCTTCATGGGGTTTTCAATGGCATTGCGTAGCCGATCGGCTAGCCTGAGGTACCCAAATGACCAGAAGACAGACAGAAATGCGGCCACGATTCCAGCCGACGTGAGATACGTGGAAACTGGAGCTGTAGGCCGACCAGAGATGACAATGGAGAAGGTGAGAATCACGGAGGCGACAACAGAGCAGACCAGCTGGCCCCAGAATCCGATGATTCCCAACTGGCGGAAGTATTTGGACGTCCGCTCCACCCGCTTCGAAGCCTGGTAGCGAATCGTGAGTGGTAAGGTAAAATAGAAGTGGTTTGGATACGAATCTGGGGACGCCGTAATAGGTTTATGAAAAGTGGCATAGATTCACAAAGCCAAGGAGTAAAATGGTGGACGCCATGGAAGATCATGTATGCGGACGCTTTAACAAGATTCAAGGCAAACGGAGCACGCAAAATCCACGCCGCTCACCTGCTCACGCCTGGCGGCCTCCTGGGGATCAATCTCCTGCTCATACTCGTAACCCGGCGACACGTAGTCAGCAGCGCGAACGGACCAATCGCGACGCGTTGAATAGGACGAAACTACTCCACGCTGAAAAGGCCCCGAAGAAGGACCAGAGGACGAGATTGCAGTCTGTGCGCGAGCAGAAAGTGGTCGGGTAGAGGTCACAACCGGCGAACGGGCAGGAAGAGCCGGGAAACGGCAGAACGAAAGATTTTGACTATGGATGGAACGACGAGTCGTTAGGGAGAGCGACCCGCTAGGAGAAACAGCTGCGACATTCGGGCGAAATAGAACTTGAGAAGCCATGGCGGAAATGGCCTTTTGAATAGATGAGCAGGCTGAATACTGAATCGAAATTTGAACTTCTTGAAAGATTTGGTCGGAGTGGAGATGAAGGGGGGAATGGCTGGCCCCCGCAAAGACCAACGAAAGCTATGCGGAGAGAGCTGCGAGTTTGCGACATCTGTTACCAGACAGGCTGTGTTGTGGTGGTGGACGAAATGGGTGCCCGAAGTTCCACCGCGAAATGTGCAGAGGGCGAAGACGAACTCCCACCCACCACGACCCAGATTCAATTCCTACCTGTCATCAACTTCCACGCCATTGTCGCAACCAGAGTCTCGAGGGCGCTGGTGCCGAAGCCATTTAGGTGTCGTTGACCGCATAATCATGACGCAACATGCAAACGATGCTGCCGTATCTGTTTCAGACTCACGCCTTAAATTGTCGCGCGTACTGCTCATCGTCGCGTACCTCATCGCAGCCGTCCTCGTAGTCCTCTCCTTCTCGCCACGACTCCGCCTGGCGGAGCAGCAATCATCGCCCGCTTCATCCGGGAAAAATGGAGCCCGTCGAGCGCGGCGATTGGAGGACGAGGAGGCGGCGTTCAACGCGAGTTTTGATTTCAGTCTCAACGAGACGTGGAAGGAGGGCTTCTTCAACATGACTCTCGAGATTGAGTGAGTCCGCTGGCTCCACCTGCTGCTGCACGCGCTTGGCCTGAAGCCGCTTACAGCTGCCGTGAGTTGTGGTCGCGGATTCACGCCCGTCATACGAAGAAGCTCGCAGCGCGCGTGAGCTAGAGATGCGGTGTCGCTGCTGAATTTTGAGGATTTTTTAGAATCTCTTACGGAATTGCGGTGTTGTCGTAGCTGGACTGATGCGCGCTTCCCCCATTCCAACCACCGCCACGTGTCTCGCAGGAAGTGGCGGGCTGGCGGCGGCTGCGATCGCTTTCGTGAGCGCTTCTCGTCGCACCTCCACGTGGACCTGCTGCAAGACGACGACCCCGCCTCCTGGCCGCCCAACCCCTCACTGCAGGTCGGTAGCGCCCCCCATACGCTTCATTCCCCCCCACTGCATCACCACATCACTTCTTCACTGCACCAGCGCATCACTACCCGCTCCATCCTCCCCTCCCTTCACGCTCACCACCCACCCCCCTCCTCCATCCGCCCACATCGCCCCTTCATGCAGCCGCTGTCGTTACCGGAGTGTCCGCGGATACAGCAGCGGCACGTGAGCGTGCGGGTGCAGCCGCCCTTTTTGAGGCGCCTCAAACACCCCCTCCTCTTTCCGCCCCCACCGTTCCTCCGTGGCAGCCCCTATCGTTACCAGAGTGTCCGCGGATACAGCAGCGGCATGTGAATGTGCGCGTGCAGCCGCCATTCGTGTGGTTTGGGCAGCGCTTTGGCAACCGCCTGGGGCTGGAGGGCACTCACTCGTGCGCGCACTGCGGCCTCACGTGCACTGTGAGGGGCGTCATGCGTGTGGTGCTGCGAGTGGCGTGAGGGCTGTGAGGGGTGTGAGCTGTGCAGTGTTGTATTTGGCACAGGACTGCACTGCTGTGGGTGCCTGGTCATTTTAGAGTCGAGCCCTAACCTAGGTTGTTGTGTTCACTGCATCATGCTCCTGCTGTCCGCCTTCAGCTTCCTCCGCTCCTCTCTCCCTCCCTGGCAGTTCTCCTGGGAGGAGCAGGTGATGCCTCGCCCTGACGTGCTGCTCTTCGTGCGCCAGTACGGCCCTCTCAAGGAGGCCGAGCAGAGGGGTGAGTGTGCCTTGTTCACACCACGCCACACCACACCACACCACACCACACCACTTGGCAGGTGGGGCATGGATGCACTCACCACACCACACTGCCCCCCCGCCCACTTCCCCCCTTACCTTCCCCTTCTTCGCCCTGCCCTCCTCCCCCCAGCTATGGTTGCGCTGACCACACTCCCTCCCAACGAGCGCCCCCTGCTGGCCCTGCTGGACCCTGAGGCAGCACCCGAGGGCGCCACAGTCCCCGACCGGGAGATCTTCTCCCCGTGGATGCCCATGGAGGGAAGCGTTTGTGGTCCGAACAACTTCTCCCACTTCGCCCCTCTCCCCTCCCTCCCCCAGAAATGGATGCGCTGACCACGCGGCCTCCCCACGAGCGGCCTCTACTCGCCCTGCTGGACCCCGAGGCAGCACCCGAGGGCGCGACAGTGCCGGGGCGGCAGATCTTCTCCCCGTGGGTGCCCATGGAGCAGCAGGCGCGGTGGGACGTGGTGGTGGGGTACCACAGGGACAGCGACGTGCAGATCACCTACGTGGGCATGAATGATGATGAGGCGCGCAAGGACCTCGTCTCCAACATCAAACTCGCTGTGAGTGAGGATGAGCTGTTCTCTATTGTACTCGCTCTTGATAATTATGAGTACGCCATTGGTTCTGCACGCCCTTGCAGATGTGCTATTGTTCACTCAACACACGCCACTGTCCCCATCCACACCCCTCCTTGCCAGGGTGTGCTGCTGTACCATGCGAGGTCGCACTGCTCAGTGCAGTGGAGGGAGGCCATGGTGAAGGGCGTTCTCCGTGTGGTGCGCCACCACTCGTTCTCCCTTGTCGATTTGTGTACCCCATTGTCACCTCCAACCCCTCTTCCCTGTGCCATGCAGGGAGTGCCGCTATACAGGGCGGGGTCGCACTGTTCTGTGTGGTGGAGGGAGGCCATGGTGAAGGACATCCTGCATGTGGTGCGCCACCACTCGTTCGGCCACTGCCAGTTCAACATGCACCGCATCTCCGAACTCATTGCTCACCCCACGTGCCGGTATGCCAGCGCACACGACCTACTTGAATTGAAATGACCACGATTTGAGCTCCTTGCGCACCCCATGTGCCAGCGCACTGTGTGTGCAGCAGGCATGGAGTGTGCCAAGTCAGCGTTCCCCTCTCCTGTCACTGCCTCCTCTTCTACCTGCTCGGCCCCTCGTCTCCTCCGTCCCTCCATACCCCACAACCCAGTCTCGCCTCCACCCCAACCTTCACCATGCTGCAGTGCGCCGCTGGACAAGTGGACGGCACGCACACACTGTGTACACTCCCTTCCCGTCCGCCCCCTCCGCTCTCCACACTCCACACGCCACTCAGTTACGACTGTGGATGTTCTGCATTCTGTAATGTATTTCATCCTTCAAAAAACAAAGAAAAAAACTCCTCACCTCCAACCCATCGCCCCCACCTGCATTGCAGCACCCCCCTGGACAAGTGGACGGCGCGCACACACTGTGTGGAGTCGCGGTACAAGTTTGCCATTGCGGTGGAGAACAGCGAGAGGGAGAGCTACGCCACTGAAAAGCTCTTCATCCCCTTCGATGCCGGTCAGTTGCACCTCTGCCTTCCCCCTCTCCATCCCCCTCTCCCCTCCCCTCCTCCTACCCTGTCCCCCACTCTCCCCCGCTTTTTCCCCTCTTCCCCTTCTGTTTCGCCTTCTTCCGCTCTCTCCCGTTTTACCCTCTTGTCACTCCATGTCCCTGCGTTTTCCCGAACAATACATTTCTGTCATCACACCCATCCGCAATCGCCCCTCTGCACCGCACTCCACCAACCGTGACCCCTCACCCCTCAGGCACAGTCCCAGTGTACTTTGGAGCGCCAGACGTGGCACACCTGGCACCGCCCGGGTCGTTCATTGACGTGCGGGCCTTCCCCAACAAGACTGAAGTGGGGGCGCTAATCAACCAGCTCGATGCCAATGCCAGTAAGTGTCTCGCTCCTTCTCCCTCTCCACGTGTGTTGCGAGTTGATTTTATACGCACCCGTGTCGCTCATTAACATGAGAGCCTTCCCCAACAACACAGGCGTGAGGGTGCTCATCAACCAGCTCGACGCCAACGCCAGTACGCCCTGCTCTCCCTCTCCCTCTCCCTCTCTCTCCCTCGCTCTCCATCATTCTTGCCTCTCTTCCCCTCGCCCTCCCCCTTGCTCTCCCTCTATGTCCCTCTCACGGTCTCACCAACCGTGTCTTTTGAGAGTTCCCTTCCCTTCCCCCACTCACACGCCTCTTCCCTCTCGCCATGTCCGCCCCATCCGCCTCCCCCCCTCTCACAGCGCAGTACCTGGACTACCACGCGTGGCGCATCTGCAACAGCAGCGGGAACCTCAAGCACGCCACAGCCCTCTCCATCCTCACCCTGCCCTGCCGCCTCTGCCTCAAGGCCGCTCTGCTTCTCGCTGACAGACAGGCAGCAGCATCGCTGGGAGAAGCTTCCCCCAACTCTGCATCCCCTCCCGCTCCCTCCACACCTCCTCCTGCTGCCTCTCCCCCTCCCTCCTCCCCGGTGCCTGATGCTTCCCCTCCCCCACCTGCTGCTCCCCCACCTGCTGCTCCCCCACCTGCTGCTCCCCCACCTGCTGCTCCCCCGTTATCACCACCTCCTCCTTCTCCCACCTCCCCTCCACCGCTCCCCCCGGCTGCACCCCCTCCTACCACTGCACCGCCTCTCCCCACCCTTCCTTCACCAGTCACATGACCCCGGCTGCGTCACCTGCCGTCGCCGTCACTGCCTCCCGTGCACCTGCCACCAGCTGCTGTGAGCAAGCCATGTGAGCCCACAGGCCGAGCACGTATGCATGTGCTGCCTTTCCATACAGGTGTGCCTGAACTCCACCCTTTCATCCGGTGACCAGCTCCCCGCACCTCTGCCCTCTCTTCCTGCCGTTGCTCTGCTCTGCACCACGGCATCCCATCCCTCTATTCCATCCCATCCGTTCCATCTTAAGATCCGGTTCCTCCTCCCTCCCATGCTCTGCCTCAGACCGGCATTCCGTTTAGCTCCACTCAGTCGTCCATTCCATCATAACACCCTGTCCCTTCCCACTCCTGTTCTGTGCACCGTCCAGGCCGACAGGGTTGCAGCTTGGAGGTGTCGTGTGTGTTGGTGTTGGGTTACCACTGCACCGCCTCATGTTTACTTCTTCCTCCTTCCCCTCTCTCTCCTCCCCTGCGACCCATTCCCACCAGGAGCCCCTCTCACCGGCTACAGCCTGCGCACATGCTGCCGATTGCCGTGATGCCGCAGCAGAGGAAGCTGTAGCAGCTGCCAGTGCTGCTGTTACTGCCGCTACAGCTGCTGCCTCCGATGACCTTGCTGCCTCCGATGACCTTGCTGCCTCCGATGACCTGACCTTGCTGCCACTGTGCCTGGCGCCCTGCCCTCTGCCTTGGCCGTGCATGAGTCCACGTGGGGGGCAGCCCAGCATCCCGTGGCTGCGCCTGCTGAACGCCCTCCCGCTCTCCCTCATGCGCCCCGACGCCCATGTCGCCGCCTTCCCCCTGCTCCCACACGCCCCCCCTCTGCCTCACGCGTTCATGTCAGAGACACCGCTGCTGCCCCACAGGCAGCTGCTGCCATGGGAGGTGGTGAACGGGTCTGTGGTGGGGCACGGCGATGGCGCTGTAAGGCGGGTGCGAGGGGGGCGAATGATTCGTGACTGCGTGCACTGGTGCCTGCCTGGCGTGCCGCACACCTGGAACCAGCTCATGTACCTATGCCGACCTCTTGCAATCTGACCTTCTTGGTGTCACTTGATTCCCTGCCATGCTTTGTGTACGGAGTAGCCACACAAGCTTGCCCCTTGTCGCCGCAACCTGGTGCTCGGATCGGATGTCATGTGAGCAACAGCTGATGCGTCAAAGGATGTGACCAAGGAACCCCTCATGATTTCACACAAACATGCACGAAAGATGCTGTCCTGCTATAGTTATAAGCCGAGTAAGCCAGCCAGGGTATGAGGCCCAAGCAGCAAAAAGTTCACAGAAAATGAAAAGGGAACACAGCAAGCTCCCCAGCATCTTGTTCTGCCTCCTAAGCCTAGTGATGGGAGTTCAAGTGTGTGCGTTCATTTCTGCAAGCTTTCTGGCTGGTTTATGTGGGCGGAGTGTGGGTGAACCCCCTGCCATTTGCCACCATGAAGAACTGGTACAAAGACAACTCATTGCTGTAAAAAGAAATACAGCATGGCATGAAACCCATCAGCTCAAACTGTTCTGGCCATCTCCAGGAACAAGATATGAGCTCCAGAAGCATCATGAGGCTGAAACTCGAGAGACATGTCATCTTTTCTGGGCGCCGCAACCTGCAAAACGGCCATAAGCAATTAGTTCTGTCTGCGCGATATTTTATGAGTTCAAAAGGGATGCCGGAGGTGCTGAAAGGCATACCTGCAGGGCATCGCGGGCATGGAGCGTCTCCTTGATGCCACTGTCCTTGGAGGTCACAGTGAGGCCGCCCTCAATGCACAACAGGTACATCTGCCGCCCCCTCTGCAGTGTGTACTCCAAGCTCCTCGCAGCAGCACCAGGCAGCGAGCCATCCATCTCCGACACAAAGATGTTGACGTCTTGATTCACGGGAATAATTCCCGATCCTGCATCTTTGTTGGAACCGTAACGGTCATAGCTGGTTACCACTTGCTGTAGCTTGTTGTGGCGATCACTCTTTCTGCACACACGAGGTTGAAAAGGAGAGACATTCAAGTCAGAGACACTTCACTCATCCCAGTCACCTTGGCACATACAGTCAACACGAGTATGGAAATCAAACGCAGTGTGCTATACTTGTGCAAGTGAGAATGAGGGACCAGATAACGACACAATTGAAGCAAGTGGAATAATGGGTGGAGACAAAAGGAAATGGTGCATGCTGAACAATGTGGATGAGCCCATCGCGCTTGACCGCACCTGAAGGTGCGCGAGCCATAGTTGGGCTTGAGACCCCTTGCGTTCGGCTTCACCCAGATCTGAATGAACCGTTGCCTGCAGGCACGGATAGAGGAGGAGAACAGGTAACGCATGAAAAGGGCAAAATTACTTACAACAGGGAATACAGGGTGAACAAGGCTGAAGAGATAATGACAATGCGGATCGTGTTGATCCTCACGTGCACGTACAGCTGGTCGGAGTTGTTCATCTCGGAGTGCGTGACGCCAGTGCCCGCACTCATGTACTGCACGCACCCACGCCCCAACGTCTCCGCTGTCCCCATGCTGCCAGGCCAGGGTCAAGGCGCAAGACAAGATCGCACAACGACAATGGAAAGCATGATAACGAAAGTTCTGGTGCGCATGAATGGAATAGGGTGCGCATTGAAGCAGAATGGTTGGATGGTGGAGGGAGGCGAGTGACGGGGTGCGCGCACCTGTCCTTGTGAGTGAGCTGGCCGTCCACGGCGTAGGTGATGATCTCCATGTCGCGGTGCGGATGTGTCCCAAACCCGGCGTTGGGCTGCCCAGCATGGTTGGGCGAAACGACACGGAGAGACAGGGAGGAGTTGAGTCTAGAATGCTCCAAGCAAAATCCTCTACAAGTGCAAATTGAGGGGCTGAAGGAGAAGGTGAAAGGCCTGTGGGAGGGACCTGGACGAGGTCGTCGTTGAGCACGCGCAGCACGCCGAACTCCTGATTGGCCGGATTGAAGTACTCCGCGAAGCTGAAGTGGAAGCGCGACTCCAGCCACCACGTGGGCCGGGACACGTACAGCGAGCTGCTCGGAATCTTCCTCATAAACTCCTTCGCCCTGCCAACAGAGAAACGGCGCGTGATGAGGATGCCTGTGCACAGCGAAGGTCGGAACTCCTACAATGCAACGCTAGTGACGAAAAGAAAAATAGAAAAAAAAGTTAGCGAACTGGGGTCCATTGGCGGACGAAACGATCGCTTACATGACCGTGGAGCTTGACCGAACGATTGCCTCTAACGATAAACTTGGTCTTGGGACGGAATCTACGAAGGATGAAAGAAAATGGACTGACTTTCGCGGGATTGGTTTTCTGAAGGCAGCTTTCGCTTCAACGATTAAAGCAGTAGTGGATGAACTCGAAAGAGCTAGTGCAGCTGAATGTCTCGTCGCTTGCAATAAATACGTCATTTATTAGCAAAAGGCTACAGGCCGAGGGAACTCGAGCGAGTAGGAACCAAGAAGAAGGCAGAAGGTTTCTTGCGAGCTTCTAACCATGAGGAGCATTCAGCGAAAGCAGAAATGGCACGCGGTGGATGGAAGCAGAAAGAAATTCGCGATGGCGGTCGAGGCGAGGCGAGGCGAGGCGAGGCGAGGGGAGGGGCTGGTGAGGAGGAAATGGCCGAAGTCGGTCGCAATTTCTAGGAATTGCGGAGAAGTTCACGAAGAATCTTTCGCGACTGGGATTCTCAAAGCCTGGCTGCGACGGTTACAGCACTCTGCGACAACATTTGAACCCCCCGCTCGCCATAGCGTGCAAATGCCCAAGTCTACAGCTCCCCCCCTCCCTCCCTGCGCGTCGTGAGCCAGAAGCTTCCCTCGAACGATCGCTCCCCAGTGCCACGTAAGGTCGGAGATCCGCTCGTTCCCACTCGTCTCGAGCTTCTATCTAAATCCGGTCGTTCATTATTCGCTCCTGGTCCTCACTACCTCCGCCGTGCGCTTCTCTGCCCGCTCGCGCACTATCTTGCGTTCCGACCTCGGTCCCCCATCTTATCTTCGCTCCTTCACCACATCCCGTCTCCATCCCTATCGCCCCTCCCTATCGCGCCGCTCGCTCCCGTCGCGCCAGTCGCACCTATGTCCCTCGCCGCGGCGTCGGCGAGACGCCATGTGCGATGGCAGGCGATGCTGTTGCAGTCGCAGCTGATCGCCCAGCGATCAATCCTTTGCAGATCAGCACTTGACCGTTCACAACCATTCGTTACCTCGCTCGACCGCTCACACGATCACCCAGTGCACGACACCCCTCTCCTCCCTCTCAAGCTCCCCATTTCTCCACCATCCCACCCGCCTCACGCACCCCTCGCCTCGATAGTCGCTCTATCCTCGTTACAAGATCACTCGCCGGCAGCATACGACGGCGCCCTGTTCAAGGATCGCAGACTAAGCATTTCATCCGCAAACGTCTTCCCGACGGCAGTTGCCGGCCAGGCGATGCCGGACCGTCAGGCGCTACCAGCTAGCCGGCAGGTCGTCCCGCACCACATGCGCGCGGCAGTCTTCATCCCGCAACTCGTTTTCGCGCGGCCAGTCTCTGGGCGGTCTGAGGGGGAAGCCGTCAGAAGCAGGGCGGAGGCGGTAGGGGAAGGGGAGGGGGAGGGGGAGGGGAGGGGAGGCGGGGAAGAGGGGGGTAAGGGCGAGCAGGAGAGCAGCGACGGGGGCGAACACAGTGGGGGCGGTAGCAGCAGCAGTAGCAGCAGTAGTGGCAGCAAAGGCAGGCGAGGAGTGAGTAAATCTTTGCCATGGCTGCACTCCCCTTCCACTCTGCCCCTTGCGCGCTTCTCACTGCTGCCACCGCCACTCGCGCACCGCGCCATGCCTCATGCTCCGCCCTTCATTCACTCCCCCTCCTCTCCCCCCCTTCCCCCCACAGCCAGTGACGTGGGCGAGTTTGGCGCTGCTGCTGCTGACGGGCGGCGCACTGCTGACGTACTTTGAGAGCGAGAAGCGCAAGCGACTTGAAGGTGCGCAGCGGGGTGTGTGCTGCTGCTGAAGGTGAAGGGCGCTCATTTTCTTTCTTTTCCTCTTTCTGGTGAGTGAATCCAGGCATAAGTCAGGTGAACTGAAGGGTGCAGGCGTGGTGCGTCTCCACCGCGCATTGTATCCGCCACAGCCTTTGCTGCCTGCTCTCTCACTCCACTCTCATCACCCCACCAACGGCAATTCCACTTAACCCCCCTCTTCGCGCGCTCCTCCCTGCCTTATAACCCCTCCCACCCGTCCAACCCCCCTTCCCCACGCTCCTTTCCCCGCGACAGCGGTGAGGGAGTTGAAGCCGGTGGGCAAGGCGGCCATAGGGGGTCCCTTCACGCTGGTGGACGGCAGTGGGGAGCCGTTCACAGACGCTGATTTGAAGGGCCGCTGGACCCTGCTCTACTTCGGCTTCACCTTCTGCCCGGACATCTGCCCCAGCGAGCTCATCAAGATCGCCCAGGCTGTCGACCTTGTGGGTGCGTATGGAAGGCACAGGGGGTGATGGGGAGGGGGAAGTGGGTGTGGGTGCGTGCATGAGCGCTGCTCTACTTCGGCTTCACCTTCTGCACGAACATCTGCCCCAGCGAGCTCATCAAGGTTGCTCAGGCTGTGGATCTAGTGGGTGCGTGTGGGTAGAGAGGGTGGTGGTGCCGCGCATGTATCCGGAGCTCACTACTCGCCGCGTGCTCATCATGGAATGGATTGATGTGAGCTGCTTGTCGGGGGTCGATGTGAGATGTGCTTATATTGGGTCGATGTGAGATTCATATAGTGGGTCGATGTGAGATTCATATAGTGGGTCGATGTGAGATTCATATAGTGGGTCGATGTGAGATTCATATAGTGGGTCGATGTGAGATTCATATAGTGGGCCCTGCGTGGGTACGTGCGGGTGCGCGTGGGTACGTGCGGGTGCGCGTGGGTGCGCGTGGGTGCGCGTGGGTGCGCGTGGGTGTCTTGTAAGTGCGTGTGCGTGCGTGCATGAGGCACCGCTTGTCGCCCCGTGCACTCGCCATCCGCCATTGTCCCCTCACCCACCCTTACTCCCTCTGTGTGTGTGTGCAGAGAAGCAGGTGGGCGTGAAGGTGGTGCCGGTGTTCATATCAGTGGACCCTGAGCGCGACACCGCAGAGCAGGTCAAGGAGTACGTCAAAGGTGCGTGCACGTGCACCCCCCGCACGTTCACCCCTCGCACATTCGCCCCCCGCACGTTCACCCCCCCCACGTTCGCCCCCCGCACGTTCACCCCCGCACGTTCACCCCTCTGTGCGTTCACCCCTCTGCGCATTCACCCTCCTGCACCTCCTTGAAACTACCTGCACCTCCTTGCACCTCCTTCCATGCCTCTCGTTCCTATCTTCTCATCACTCCTCCTGTTCCTCCCTTTCTCGCACTGCACCCCGTGCTCCCGTGCTCGTTCAACCCGCTGCAGAGTTCCACCCGAGAATGATCGGCCTCACAGGCACACCAGAACAGGTGGGGGGCCTTGCAGTTACCTTGCATATTTCGATGCTTCAGGCATGCTGCATGTTCCATGATTATCGTGCAGCATGTTTCATTGGGATACGACAGGTGATTTCTTCATGGTTGTTTACCTGCTCCTGTTCCCCCCCTCCCCCTCACCTTCCCCGCACCATGCACATGGGCTGCTGGAGGCAGGTGAAGGCAGCAGCGCGGGCGTTCAGAGTGTATTACATGAAGACAGAGGAGGAGGGATACGACTACCTCGTCGACCACTCCATTATCTCGTAAGCACGGCACACCCCTGCCGTCTGCTGCTTGAGTGTCATGTGTGTTGATCTTTTCAGTGTGATTCACAGTCACTCCATCCATCATCTCATGAGTGCACCCCCGCCGCCGTGCATCTTCTGCTCGCCAGCCTGCTACCCTTTCCATAGGTTGCTGCCTCTACAGCCCTGTTAACTCTTTTTCCTCCTCTCCCCAACCCCTCTCCCCAACCCCCTCCTGTCCCCTTTCCCCCTCACCTGCACCAGGTATCTGATGAGTCCCGAGTTTGAGTTTGTCAAGTTCTTTGGCCGCAACCACACGCCAGAGGGACTGGCAGACGGCATAGCGGGGGAGATCAAGGGTCACGGCAAGTAGATGGAATGTAGCGTGGCTGCTCAATGCCAGGCTGGAGGGATCATAGATGCATGCATGGTCAATGGCGTAGAGTGGATTGAATGTATTGCCTGCTTGTTGAGGTTTTGCATTCTGCGCCACTAGTGTTGTAGGCAGGGCAGCATTGTGAGGGTCCACAATGACTTATATTCGCCAAAAAAGAATGATGTGTCACAAAGCACGATTCTATCTATCGCATCTCCCCACCACATCGCACAGCAGCAGAATGTGCTGCTGGTTCAGCAGCCACTGCGCCTCTCAACACTCTCTTGCTCCACGAAAGCCACCTTTGGATTGGACTCAACCGTCACAACGGAATGCTCGTGACACGCGCCAATAGGCTCCGCGTCACTCCCTTGCTTCACCTCTCCCTCTGCCTCCCTGTCTCAACCATTCTCCCATGACCCATTTGCTGTCTGCCAGCCTCACAGCTCGTCCTTCACATCGCCCGCTGCTCTCCGTGCCTGCTCCGCTGCGGCCTCCTTCCTCCTCTGCTTCTCGTACTCCTCCCCCTGCTCCTCCACCTCCTCCTCCAGGTTTTCAGGCAGGTGCAGTGCGGTGCCGGCGTGCTGCCTGAGTGTGCCCACCATGTGCTTCCACCGTACTAGCCTGTCCTCTACTGTCACCTGAGGGGGCAGCACACAGCAATAAGGAAGGGGACGGGGTGGAAGTGGGACATGCATAGGAGGCAGTGGGACATGAGAGGGCAGTATGAGCGAGAGCACCATGTGTTTCCCCTGCACCAACCACTCTTCTCTGTCACCTGAGGGGCTCCACACAGCACGGAGAGGGGAAAGTGAATGGGGGGTAGCGAGATGTGAGAGGTCGGGGACGTGGGTAGTGAGGAAAGAATTCACATGCGGTGGGGGGAAACGGGTGAAACAGCAAGGAAGAGACCTGGTGAGCGATTAACGTAATTGATGAATTCCAAAGTCGCAAACGAGCAACATGTGGGTGAGGCGGCACGAGCAACATGTGGGGTGAGGTGGCAAGAGCAAGGACGAGAGCACACAGGGAGGCACACGAGACGGGGGGCTTACTGGTTGGGTCTTGCTGCCTGCCGGGTAGAGCATGACCGTTGGGAACGCCTCTAGCTGATGGCCATAGGGGGGGAGGCAATGGGCACGGAGGCAAGGAAAAAGGGGGGAAGGAGTTTTGAGTGGGTCGGTGGGACTTGCTGCCGGCTGGGTAGAGCATCAGCATCAGCATCAGCATCAGCATCAGCGTATCAGCATCAGCATCAGCGTATCAGCATCAGCATCAGCATCAGCGTATCAGCATCAGCATCAGCATCAGCATCAGCATCAGCATCAGCATCAGCATCAGCGTATCAGCATCAGCATCAGCATCAGCATCAGCATCAGCATCAGCGTATCAGCATCAGCATCAGCGTATCAGCATCAGCATCAGCATCAGCGTATCAGCATCAGCATCAGCATCAGCATCAGCGTATCAGCATCAGCATCAGCGTATCAGCATCAGCATCAGCATCAGCGTATCAGCATCAGCATCAGCATCAGCATCAGCATCAGCATATCAGCATCAGCATCAGCATCAGCATCAGCGTATCAGCATCAGCATCAGCATCAGCATCAGCGTATCAGCATCAGCATCAGCATCAGCATCAGCATCAGCATCAGCATCAGCATCAGCATCAGCATCAGCATCAGCGTATCAGCATCAGCAGCATCAGCATCAGCATCAGCATCAGCATCAGCGTATCAGCATCAGCATCAGCGTATCAGCATCAGCATCAGCATCAGCGTATCAGCATCAGCATCAGCATCAGCATCAGCATCAGCGTATCAGCATCAGCATCAGCATCAGCATCAGCGTATCAGCATCAGCATCAGCATCAGCATCAGCGTATCAGCATCAGCATCAGCATCAGCATCAGCGTATCAGCATCAGCATCAGCATCAGCGTATCAGCATCAGCATCAGCATCAACATCAGCATCAGCATCAGCATCAGCGTATCAGCATCAGCATCAGCATCAGCATCAGCGTCAGCATCAGCAGCATCAGCATCAGCATCAGCATCAGCATCAGCATCAGCATCAGCATCAGCATCAGCATCAGCATCAGCGTCAGCATCAGCATCAGCATCAGCATCAGTATCAGCATCAGCATCAGCATCAGCATCAGCGCATCAGCATCAGCATCAGCATCAGCGCATCAGCATCAGCATCAGCATCAGCATCAGCGCTGACGTAGCAAGGGTGCATTGACGTGGATGGATTACTCAGCGCTGACGGACTGAGCAGAGAGGCGCACATGCACTGACCTCCAAGCCAAGCAAGAGGGCAACTGACCTCAAGGCCCGGCACCTCGTTGGAGGCATAGTCCATGGCAGCGAAGAGCAGCGAGGGGCGCACACTGACCTTTGATATGGAGGCGGTAAATGCAGGAGCCCGCCAGGAGGGGCACTGACCTCAAGGCCCGGCACCTCGTTGGAGGCATAGTCCATGGCAGCGAAGAGCAGCGAGGGGCGCACACTGACCTTTGATATGGAGGCGGTAACTGCAGGAGCCCGCCAGGAGGGGCACTGACCTCAAGGCCCGGCACCTCATTGGAGGCATAGTCCATGGTGGCGAAGAGCAGCGAGGGGCGGTCGCTGAGACGCTCCGCCAGATTTGTGAAGTGCGGCAGCAGGTCGTCACACGATGGGCACTCATCGGAAAAGCTCAGCTGCCAGGGCAAGGGCCAGGGAGGCGGGGTGGAGTTGGGGATTGGGACGGGGGAGATGTGAGACGTGTGGCAGCAGTTAGTCACATGACGGACACTCGTCCGCAAAACTCAGCTGCCCATGCATGTAGGCCGGAGAGGCGGATTGGGAAGGTGTGGGGGATGCGAGATTTTTGAGGTTTTGCACGCATGCAAGCTCTTAACGGTGATGTTAACGGTAATGGTAGTGGTAATGATAATGGTAATGGTAATGATAATGGTAATGGTAATGGTAATGGTAACGGTAATGGTAATGGTAATGGTAACGGTAACGGTAATGGTAATGGTAATGGTAATGGTAACGGTAACGGTAATGGTAATGGTAATGGTAATGGTAACGGTAATGGTAATGGTAATGGTAATGGTAACGGTAACAGTAATGTTAAGGTAATCGTAATGGTAACGGTAATGGTAATGGTAACGGTAATGGTAATGGTAATGGTAATGGTAATGGTAATGGTAACGGTAATGGTAATGGTAATGGTAACAATAATGGTAATGGTAACGGTAATGGTAATGGTAATGGTAATGATAGTGGTAATGGTAATGGTAATGGTAATGAGCATCCAGCAGCACCACCTGGCACCCACCATGAGCATGACATCCTTGGAATCATCCATTACAATCTCCTTGAACGTGCTGCCCACCACTGTGCGCACCACCCCATCGTTCTGCCCCGCGAGAGCAGGGTAGCGGGGTAGAGGGCGTGGGGAGGAAGGTGGGAGGGCGGGCGCACATGTGTACAGGGAAGGGAGGAGTGAAAGCGGGTGAATTGGTGAGCACGGAGGCATGACCATGGTAACTTGCCATGCATCATGGCCACTCCATGACATGTGGCCGTTCAGACCAAATGTACTCGCACAGCAGGTCGCCCACCGGGAAGGTTGTCTTGGAACGTGAAATGTGGATTGTCAACCAGCGTTCACCACACACCTGTGAACAACACTCACCTGCCCTACCCCACACACCTGCCCCACGGGCATGCACCTCCTCAGGGACAGGGTCATGGTTGTGCTAGGGCGGCAGTTCGCCTGGCAAGAAGGAATCTTGACAGCTCTCAGACAGCATTCACGATGCACCTGCGCCCAGCACTCACCTTCCCTGCCACACACACCTGCCCCACGGACCATGGCACCACGCACCTCCTCAGGGACAGGGTCGGACTTATAGTAGGGCGGCAGGTGGCCTGCCAAGAAGGCTGTTATGAACTCCTGGTTAGGCGAGTGGGCACGGCACGGTGGGAGAGAGGAAGGAGAGAAGGGAGAAAGGGGACGAGTGGGTAGTGTTTCAAGGAGGCACTTGGCAGGACATGGCAGTGCATGTGGTTGGGAGCAAGCAGGCTGTGCAGGGCACATGCACGTGAGCGTACGGACAGGCGCACCTGCATGTTGGCCGGAGTGGGTTCTCCTGACAGGCGGTGCTTGGCCTCGTGGTGCTCTCCCTCCTCCGTGTACGAGAGCACAGCCAGCACTGCGGTCTCGTAATACATAATACGAGCGAATGCTGCACACAAGCAGGCGAACGCACCTGCATGTTGGCGAGAGTGGGTTCCCCTGACAGGCGGTGCTTGGCCTCGTGGTGCTCTCCCTCCTCCGTGTATGAGAGCACAGCCAGCACGGCTGTCATGTGAAATTTCTCACAAGTGAATGGCTGGCATGCACACAAGCAAGCTGACTGACGCACCTGCATGTTGGAAAGAGTAGGTTCCCCTGCCAGGCGGTGCTTGGACTCCTGGTGCTCGCCCCCCTCCGTGTACGAGAGCACGGCCAGCACGGCCGTCTCGCCCTCGTGAATGCCAAAGTAGTCCATGGGCTGGCCTGATGTGTCCTCATCGCTGGAGTCCACCATCATGAAGAACACCTGGGGGGGTGCATGAAGTGAAGAGGCATGTTTGCAGGGCATGCACGCAAGGGAAATTATACCAAGTGCATGGGAAAGAGCAAACTACCAAGTGCATGGGAAAGAGCAAACTAGTCCATGGGCTGCCCTGATGTGTCCTCATTGGTGGAATTCCCCATCATGAAGAACACCTGGGGGCTGCAGTGCAATGGCTTACCCTTGCATCCCACCGCTAGCACCCGTTGTATCCTTCCTCAATCACTCCACCCTCGCCCTCCACCCGGGAGCCCTACAGTGGTTGAAGCGGAAGGGAAGCTCCCTATGGAAACTGGCCACGTGCTCACCTTGCCCACGTGCTCACCTTGCCCACGTGCTCACCTTGCCCACGTGCTCACCTTGCCCACGTGCTCACCTTGCCCACGTGCTCACCTTGCCCACGTACTGCCTGGCCAAGGGAGTCAGAGACTCCTCAAAGTGAGAGAACTCAGTGCCCGGGCAGAAGATCACGATCTGTGAAGGGGGGAAGGGAGGCATAGGCGGAGAGGAGGCATGGGCGGTGGAGAGGCATGGGCGGGGGGGAGGCATGGGCGGATGAACGATGTGACTGGATAAGTCAATAGCAAGGGTAGACATGGGAGGAATGAGCGACATGGCAAACCATCCAGCCACTTATGTGGGTCACTATCCTTCTCTGCTCACATGCCCTGTTCGCCCCACCGCTCCCTCACAAGCTCTGTTCGCCCCACCGCTCCCTCACAAGCTCTGTTCGTGAGGTCTGAGTGAGAGAGCGAGGGCTTGGTGACAGTAACGAGCTAGTATGGAGAGGCGTTTGGGCGTGAAGGGGATGCAAGGGCATGAAGGGGATGCAAGGGCGTGAAGGGGTGTGAGGGGATGCAAGGGAGTGAGAACCTGCACGCACGCCCATACACTGCACCACACGCCCATGCACTGCACCGCACGCACATACGCTGCACTGCCCGCTCATACGCTGCACCGCCCGCTCTGAGGGAGGAAGGAACTGAGGGAGGAACTGAGGGAGGAACTGAGGGAGGAAGGAACTGAGGGAGGGACTGAGGGAGGAACTGAGGGAGGAACTGAGGGAGGAACTGAGGGAGGAACTGAGGGAGGAACTGAGGGAGGAACTGAGGGAGGAACTGAGGGAGGAAGGAACTGAGGGAGGAACTGAGGGAGGAACTGAGGGAGGAAGGAACTGAGGGAGGAACTGAGGGAGGAACTGAGGGAGGAACTGAGGGAGGAACTGAGGGAGGAACTGAGGGAGGAACTGAGGGAGGAACTGAGGGAGGAACTGAGGGAGGAACTGAGGGAGGAACTGAGGGAGGAACTGAGGGAGGAAGGAACTGAGGGAGGAACTGAGGGAGGAACTGAGGGAGGAACTGAGGGAGGAACTGAGGGAGGAAGGAACTGAGGGAGGAACTGAGGGAGGAACTGAGGGAGGAAGGAACTGAGGGAGGAACTGAGGGAGGAACTGAGGGAGGAACTGAGGGAGGAACTGAGGGAGGAAGGAACTGAGGGAGGAACTGAGGGAGGAACTGAGGGAGGAACTGAGGGAGGAACTGAGGGAGGAAGGAACTGAGGGAGGAACTGAGGGAGGAACTGAGGGAGGAAGGAACTGAGGGAGGAACTGAGGGAGGAACTGAGGGAGGAACTGAGGGAGGAACTGAGGGAGGAAGGAACTGAGGGAGGAACTGAGGGAGGAACTGAGGGAGGAACTGAGGGAGGAACTGAGGGAGGAACTGAGGGAGGAACTGAGGGAGGAACTGAGGGAGGAACTGAGGGAGGAACTGAGGGAGGAACTGAGGGAGGAAGGAACTGAGGGAGGAACTGAGGGAGGAACTGAGGGAGGAACTGAGGGAGGGACTGAGGGAGGAACTGAGGGAGGAACTGAGGGAGGAACTGAGGGAGGGACTGAGGGAGGAACTGAGGGAGGAACTGAGGGAGGAACTGAGGGAGGAACTGAGGGAGGAAGGAACTGAGGGAGGAACTGAGGGAGGAACTGAGGGAGGAACTGAGGGAGGAACTGAGGGAGGAACTGAGGGAGGGACTGAGGGAGGAACTGAGGGAGGAAGGAACTGAGGGAGGAACTGAGGGAGGAAGGAACTGAGGGAGGAACTGAGGGAGGAACTGAGGGAGGAACTGAGGGAGGAACTGAGGGAGGAACTGAGGGAGGAACTGAGGGAGGAACTGAGGGAGGAACTGAGGGAGGAAGGAACTGAGGGAGGAACTGAGGGAGGAACTGAGGGAGGAACTGAGGGAGGAACTGAGGGAGGAACTGAGGGAGGAAGGAACTGAGGGAGGAACTGAGGGAGGAACTGAGGGAGGAAGGAACTGAGGGAGGAACTGAGGGAGGAACTGAGGGAGGAACTGAGGGAGGAACTGAGGGAGGAACTGAGGGAGGAACTGAGGGAGGAACTGAGGGAGGAACTGAGGGAGGAACTGAGGGAGGAACTGAGGGAGGAACTGAGGGAGGAACTGAGGGAGGAACTGAGGGAGGAACTGAGGGAGGAAGGAACTGAGGGAGGAACTGAGGGAGGAACTGAGGGAGGAACTGAGGGAGGAACTGAGGGAGGAAGGAACTGAGGGAGGAACTGAGGGAGGAACTGAGGGAGGAAGGAACTGAGGGAGGAACTGAGGGAGGAACTGAGGGAGGAACTGAGGGAGGAACTGAGGGAGGAAGGAACTGAGGGAGGAACTGAGGGAGGAACTGAGGGAGGAACTGAGGGAGGAACTGAGGGAGGAACTGAGGGAGGAACTGAGGGAGGAACTGAGGGAGGAAGGAACTGAGGGAGGAACTGAGGGAGGAACTGAGGGAGGAACTGAGGGAGGAACTGAGGGAGGAACTGAGGGAGGAAGGAACTGAGGGAGGAACTGAGGGAGGAACTGAGGGAGGAACTGAGGGAGGAACTGAGGGAGGAACTGAGGGAGGAAGGAACTGAGGGAGGAACTGAGGGAGGAACTGAGGGAGGAAGGAACTGAGGGAGGAACTGAGGGAGGAACTGAGGGAGGAACTGAGGGAGGAACTGAGGGAGGAACTGAGGGAGGAACTGAGGGAGGAACTGAGGGAGGAACTGAGGGAGGAACTGAGGGAGGAACTGAGGGAGGAACTGAGGGAGGAACTGAGGGAGGAACTGAGGGAGGAACTGAGGGAGGAAGGAACTGAGGGAGGAACTGAGGGAGGAACTGAGGGAGGAACTGAGGGAGGAACTGAGGGAGGAAGGAACTGAGGGAGGAACTGAGGGAGGAACTGAGGGAGGAAGGAACTGAGGGAGGAACTGAGGGAGGAACTGAGGGAGGAACTGAGGGAGGAACTGAGGGAGGAAGGAACTGAGGGAGGAACTGAGGGAGGAACTGAGGGAGGAACTGAGGGAGGAACTGAGGGAGGAACTGAGGGAGGAACTGAGGGAGGAACTGAGGGAGGAAGGAACTGAGGGAGGAACTGAGGGAGGAACTGAGGGAGGAACTGAGGGAGGAACTGAGGGAGGAACTGAGGGAGGAAGGAACTGAGGGAGGAACTGAGGGAGGAACTGAGGGAGGAACTGAGGGAGGAACTGAGGGAGGAACTGAGGGAGGAACTGAGGGAGGAAGGAACTGAGGGAGGAACTGAGGGAGGAACTGAGGGAGGAAGGAACTGAGGGAGGAACTGAGGGAGGAACTGAGGGAGGAACTGAGGGAGGAACTGAGGGAGGAACTGAGGGAGGAACTGAGGGAGGAACTGAGGGAGGAACTGAGGGAGGAACTGAGGGAGGAACTGAGGGAGGAAGGAACTGAGGGAGGAACTGAGGGAGGAACTGAGGGAGGAACTGAGGGAGGAACTGAGGGAGGAAGGAACTGAGGGAGGAACTGAGGGAGGAAGGAACTGAGGGAGGAACTGAGGGAGGAACTGAGGGAGGAACTGAGGGAGGAACTGAGGGAGGAAGGAACTGAGGGAGGAACTGAGGGAGGAACTGAGGGAGGAACTGAGGGAGGAACTGAGGGAGGAACTGAGGGAGGAACTGAGGGAGGAACTGAGGGAGGAACTGAGGGAGGAACTGAGGGAGGAACTGAGGGAGGAAGGAACTGAGGGAGGAACTGAGGGAGGAACTGAGGGAGGAACTGAGGGAGGGACTGAGGGAGGAACTGAGGGAGGAACTGAGGGAGGAACTGAGGGAGGGACTGAGGGAGGAACTGAGGGAGGAACTGAGGGAGGAACTGAGGGAGGAACTGAGGGAGGAAGGAACTGAGGGAGGAACTGAGGGAGGAACTGAGGGAGGAACTGAGGGAGGAACTGAGGGAGGGACTGAGGGAGGAACTGAGGGAGGAAGGAACTGAGGGAGGAAGGAACTGAGGGAGGAACTGAGGGAGGAACTGAGGGAGGGACTGAGGGAGGAACTGAGGGAGGAAGGAACTGAGGGAGGAACTGAGGGAGGAACTGAGGGAGGAAGGAACTGAGGGAGGAACTGAGGGAGGAACTGAGGGAGGAACTGAGGGAGGAAGGAACTGAGGGAGGAACTGAGGGAGGAACTGAGGGAGGAAGGAACTGAGGGAGGAACTGAGGGAGGAACTGAGGGAGGAACTGAGGGAGGGAGGAACTGAGGGAGGAAGGGACCGAGGGAGGAAGGAACTAAGGGAGGAAGGAACTGAGGGAGGAACTGAGGGAGGAAGGAACTGAGGGAGGAACTGAGGGAGGAACTGAGGGAGGAACTGAGGGAGGAACTGAGGGAGGAACTGAGGGAGGAAGGAACTGAGGGAGGAACTGAGGGAGGAACTGAGGGAGGAACTGAGGGAGGAACTGAGGGAGGAACTGAGGGAGGAACTGAGGGAGGAAGGAACTGAGGGAGGAACTGAGGGAGGAACTGAGGGAGGAAGGAACTGAGGGAGGAACTGAGGGAGGAACTGAGGGAGGAAGGAACTGAGGGAGGAACTGAGGGAGGAACTGAGGGAGGAACTGAGGGAGGAACTGAGGGAGGAACTGAGGGAGGAACTGAGGGAGGAACTGAGGGAGGAACTGAGGGAGGAACTGAGGGAGGAACTGAGGGAGGAACTGAGGGAGGAACTGAGGGAGGAACTGAGGGAGGAAGGAACTGAGGGAGGAACTGAGGGAGGAACTGAGGGAGGAACTGAGGGAGGAACTGAGGGAGGAAGGAACTGAGGGAGGAACTGAGGGAGGAAGGAACTGAGGGAGGAACTGAGGGAGGAACTGAGGGAGGAACTGAGGGAGGAACTGAGGGAGGAAGGAACTGAGGGAGGAACTGAGGGAGGAACTGAGGGAGGAACTGAGGGAGGAACTGAGGGAGGAACTGAGGGAGGAACTGAGGGAGGAACTGAGGGAGGAACTGAGGGAGGAACTGAGGGAGGAACTGAGGGAGGAAGGAACTGAGGGAGGAACTGAGGGAGGAACTGAGGGAGGAACTGAGGGAGGGACTGAGGGAGGAACTGAGGGAGGAACTGAGGGAGGAACTGAGGGAGGGACTGAGGGAGGAACTGAGGGAGGAACTGAGGGAGGAACTGAGGGAGGAACTGAGGGAGGAAGGAACTGAGGGAGGAACTGAGGGAGGAACTGAGGGAGGAACTGAGGGAGGAACTGAGGGAGGGACTGAGGGAGGAACTGAGGGAGGAAGGAACTGAGGGAGGAAGGAACTGAGGGAGGAACTGAGGGAGGAACTGAGGGAGGGACTGAGGGAGGAACTGAGGGAGGAAGGAACTGAGGGAGGAACTGAGGGAGGAACTGAGGGAGGAAGGAACTGAGGGAGGAACTGAGGGAGGAACTGAGGGAGGAACTGAGGGAGGAAGGAACTGAGGGAGGAACTGAGGGAGGAACTGAGGGAGGAAGGAACTGAGGGAGGAACTGAGGGAGGAACTGAGGGAGGAACTGAGGGAGGGAGGAACTGAGGGAGGAAGGGACCGAGGGAGGAAGGAACTAAGGGAGGAAGGAACTGAGGGAGGAAGGAACTGAGGGAGGAACTGAGGGAGGGACTGAGGGAGGAACTGAGGGAGGAACTGAGGGAGGAACTGAGGGAGGAAGGAACTGAGGGAGGGACTGAGGGAGGAACTGAGGGAGGAACTGAGGGAGGAACTGAGGGAGGAAGGAACTGAGGGAGGGACTGAGGGAGGAACTGAGGGAGGAACTGAGGGAGGGACTGAGGGAGGAACTGAGGGAGGAACTGAGGGAGGAACTGAGGGAGGAACTGAGGGAGGAACTGAGGGAGGAACTGAGGGAAGAGCTGAGGGAGGAAGGAACTGAGGGAGGAACTGAGGGAGGGACTGAGGGAGGAACTGAGGGAGGAAGGAACTGAGGGAGGAACTGAGGGAGGGACTGAGGGAGGAACTGAGGGAGGAAGGAACTGAGGGAGGGAATGAGAAAGGAACTGAGGGAGGAACTGTGGGAGGAACTGAGGGAGGAACTGAGGGAGGAAGGAACTGAGGGAGGAACTGAGGGAGGTACACGCTCATACGCTGCACCGCCCGCTCATACGCTGCCCCACACGCTCTACACTGCACCGCACGCTCACACGCTGCACCGCACGCACATACGCTGCACCGCACACCCTAGGGAAGCAGGGACGCGTGGGGATGGGGGGCGAGCGACGCACTAAACTGCAGGAAGGAGTCGTTTCTGCTCTTGAGCCCCGGCCACACCCCCCCCTTTCCGCGCCTACACGTGCCAGAGCAGCAGCAGCGTCGCCCTGCTAGCCCAGCGGAGTGAGAATGGGAGGTGAGATACTCACTGAACTGCGAAAAGGTGTCGTTTCTGCTCTTGAGCACGGCCACCACGGCCCCCTCCACGCCTGCACGCGCCAGGGCGGCAGCAGCGTCGCCCTGCCAGCCCAGCGCGGTGGCCACTGCAATGTGCGTGGTGAGCGCAAACCGCACCCCCTCCACGTCCTTGGACGCGCCCCTGAACTCCGCTGCTGCCCCGCCCTGGTAGTGTGGGGAGGGGAGGGGAGGGGAAGACAGTGAATCGTGTTTCCTTGGGTTCTCTTGGTTTCACCTGCACCTCATGCTCACCCGCATCTCATGCTCACCTGCATCTCATGCTCACCTGAGTGTCATGCTCACCTGCATCTCATGCTCACCTGAGTGTCATGCACGAGGGCGAGGGCGAGCGCAGTGACGGAGTCGTCGAGCAGTGAGTCCAGAGAGGGCAGGTCGGCGGGCGAGGCGGGGTCCAGCACGGCCACGCTGCGCCCACTCTTCCGCTGCACCCACGCCACCACGTCCTCGCTGCAGGGGGGATGGGCGGATGGATGAGAGGGTGCAGCGCACGAAGGCACGCGTGTGACCCTCCTCTCAGCACATGCGGGTGGGACACACCCGAACGGCTTTCCAGTCAATTCAGAATGGCTTCTGAGTGGACCCAGAAGCCACTTCCCTCACCTGTGGAATTCGTCGCACGGCTGCAAGCGTCCATTCTCCGCCCACACGAACAGCGGCGGCTCACCGTCGTCCCCAGCGCCCTCCGCCACCGCCCTCTGCAGCACCCCCGCGTGCTGCACCGCGTCCACCTTGCCCACCAACACCCCCCCGCCCGCCTCCTTCAGGGCCGCCGCCGCTTCCCGCAGCTGCGGGGAAGGATTTGGAAGACCGCGCGGCGGGGGGGTTTGGGGGGATGGGCGGAACGCGGAAATTAGGCGGAGAATGTGTGTGCCCGTTGCGACTCGGCGTCGGACGTGGACAGGCGGAGGGCAAAGTGGAAGCATTCGCTGCCACGCGCGTGATTTCCAACAGCCATCAAGACCCAACGCGCACTTGGCGGTAAGGCACTGCGGCTGCAATGCGCATTCAACCTCGTGCCGCGTCGCTGCTCGAGCTGAGTACGATCCCTGTGTCGACTCGAAAATCGCTGAGGTGCCGGCTCACCTGGACCATGTAGTTCTTGCATCGCGGGCACGAGCTGTTGTACAGCAACGCGGGAACGTACTCGTGCTGCCTGAGTGCCTCGTTAAACGACTCTTCGTTTAAATTCACTATGTCCCCATCGTCGCCGTCCGGAATATCGGGAAACTTCGGAATGTCATCTCCCGCTTGATCCTCTGTGGTGAGAGCTACCGAACAAAGGGTGGTGAGGATGAGCAGGGCGAGAAGAAGAGTAGAAGCATTTGCAGCCATGGCGGTTGATACCTGAAATGAATGAGGATGTGTAATGGACATACACAGATCTAACCGTTTCTTTTTGCTCGTGAGATAAGCAAGAAGAGTAAGAGCAGGTGAGATGATCAGTCAAGCGCCGAAGCGCAATCCTTGTCCTCGATGTTGGGGGTCGACGCTGTTTGCGCTGCATCGTTCCAGCAGCATACTCGCTGAATGGCAGACATTAGCCCAGCAGAACATAGAGCATAAGTGAAATTATACCTGCAACATACAACATAAGATCTTATTTACTTTGATTTTATTCAGTTATCATTACAACAGTTGTTTTGACATTTTTTTCCAGCTTGTGGGCTATTCACATATGAATACTTGAAAGTCTATATACAGTTAGCTGATATTGTGTACCGCTTTACTGCGATCAGCTAAAAACGCAGATCTGTGGAATTCCTTCTGCTGGCGTGAGCAAAGGAGCGATTTCAGATGAGGGACCCGTAGGACAACCTCAAGGGATCCTCGCAGATTCCAACTTGGTGCTTGCAGTTCCTTTCTTGTTTGAAGATATTCCGCTTTCCCAACACGACCATCTCGAGGAATAAGTTAATCGCCTCTGGTGCTAGCTTATTGGATTTGTGGCCGCGATACATTGCAGTGCTTATCAGTAGTGCTTCATCGTCAAAATGGGGGTGAGGATCGTTCTTTTTTCTGGAAAATATTGTCGTCAGTATCCATGTTGACTAATCGCTCCCAATCGTTGCAGATCTCTGTCAAGGTGACTGGAATTACTGACAAGGCGTCACTTCAAGACATTTACGATTTCTTCTCGTTCTCCGGACCCATTGAAAGCATTAATCTTGAAAAAGAGTACGCGTGAACACGTCACGTCCTGAACTTTCGCTACTGTCAACAGTGACGAGAATCAGTGTACCTTCTAACAACATATGGTAGAAGATACTTATCATGTTCACGGTGCGGCTTCATGTTGTGGTTGACGTTGGCAGTGCGGAGGGTGACGTACAGACTGCTCACGTGACATTCTCCGAGCAGAAGTCGATGGAGACTGCTCTTCTTCTGACGGTAGGATTCCACATTCTGGGCTCATTTCGTTGGTACGCCCACTCTCCGCATTTTCTGATCGCAAGTGTGATGATGCGCGTTGAAAGTTGCAATTGATTCATTGATCCGACTGTCAAATCCGTGTCTCAGGGTGCCATGATTTTGGACAAGGTCGTAATCGTGGAGCCAGCAACAGACTACGAACCTCCCAGCACGGCGAAGTTTTATGATACATCCAAGGGAGAAGGAAAGGTAGGCACACAATTCATTCACCTGTGTACACTAACACAATGAAGAGAGAGAAATGAGACAGCTGCACATGGGCTTCACTTTGATACGACAGCAAAGCTCACAAACATTTTTTTTCCTGACATTTCAGGAGACTCCGAGCAGCCCAGCGACGAACATTGCCACAGCAGCTCAAGAGATGGTTCGTTCTCTCTTATCTCGGGGATACACCCTCGCTCAAGACGCCATGCAGCGCGCTCGTGACTTTGATGCTAGGCTGGCTATCTCTAGCTCTGCCGCTGCAGGCACTGCTGCCATTCGTGATGGCATCGTCGCCCTGCCATCCACAATCTCTGAGGGAGCCAAAACCGTTGGTACTAACGTCTCAGAAGGAGCCAAGGTGGTGGGCTCTACGATGGCAGAGGGTGCTAAGGCTGTTGGAACAACAGTGTCAGAGGGAGCTAAGGTTGTTGGATCAAGCGTTGCAGCCACGGCTGATACGATCGACAAGAAGCTGTTCATCTCACAGAGTTTCAAAGCAGGGACGGGAGCCTTGGCCAAGTCCTTGAGTGTCGTTGATGAAAAGCTGCACCTGTCTGAGACCACCAGAGGGGCGTTTGTGGCTGCGGAGACAAAGCTGAACGAGGCTGGAGAGATTCTGGTGCAGAATAAACTCATTGCTTCTAGCAAGGACTTCGTGATGGGTGTCACTTCCAAGATATCAAATATTGTTGAAGGGGAGGCGAAGCCATCTCTAGATGCTGCTGCTTCCACTGAGGCAAGCACAGATGGCAGCAAAGCATCCAAGCCAGCTGAGCCTGAAACTGAGGGAGCTACCAAAGACAGTGCAGCCGATGCTCCTCCAGCTGCTTTGTCTGTTGATGCTGCAGCAGATCAGGCAGCTGAAGCGACCAAGACAGTGGCCGATGCACCTGCACCAGCTAGTAAGTCGAAGGAAGAAGACACCCCCGTTTTCTGATTGTTCCCGAACCAGTGAAGGTCTCCTTGATGACCGTTCAAATTCAGATTATGGAAGAGAAACAGGTTGTGCAGTGTATAATAGCAAGGCTTTTCATTAAAACATTACCAAGTCTCACAATCCGTTATGGACACACTGCACTACTATTCACCCTGCTCTTGGAGTGCTGACAATGATGCATCAAGTTTTTCTGCGATGCTCCCAAGCCAAACCTGCAGCCAAAAAGAGGACAGAGCACTTCATTGAATAAGAGTCCAGAGAAGAATTTGGAAACTGACGATCATGAGCTGCTTCAGTGCACACCTGATGCAGAGGGGTGAAGCCTCTGATGGTATCGCTGCCCATAACAATCACCCCGTCTCCATCTCCTAGAGGTTGTACTATAGCAGCCTGTCAGCATGTTATTGGCATGGACATCAGCAATGTGTCGATACCCTATCAAAGACAGGCAACAAAGGGAGTTAGTCACAGCAGCTCACCTGCGTGTTGTCTGGCAAAAACTCGAAGAGCTCGTATCTTGCTGGAAACAAAACGATGTTAGCGAGATAATTTGCTGCTCATGGGAGAAAATGAAGGGGGGGAGGGCGCTGAGGTAGAAAGATGACGACATGATTGTTGCAACTGAAGGACCACTCAGCCTATCACAACTTTTAGGCATGAACTTACGGCGTCCAGACTTGAGAACTGTGGAACAAATGGAGCCGGAGAGAAGTTTTTCAGCATCCACTATGGCAGCAGTAGTGACACCAGGCATGCTGGGTGCTGAAGCCATGCAGCCTGCTTGCAGAATACACTGCCCCTTGAATATAAGGAGTAGAGAGCGACAGGGGGTGTTGGAACTGAGAGTAGTCCATGCCCTGAGAAGAGAAACAGTGGGACAATTTAAAGGAGGTGAATATTGCAGCCACTCAAAATATGGAGCCAAGGAAAATGATGGGGCTGGGAAGAAGGTATTTTAGAGGAATAGACCAAGCAACTGTAAATAGAATGTAGACGAGGGAAGTCGTACGTGCCAGTTCAGCTCTTGTTGAACGGGATGAGGCAGGGATGGCAGCATGCGGTGGCAGGGAACACCATTGAGGACCACCTGAAGACTTGCCAGGAAGGGAAGCGCTGCAGGTTAGACTGAACGGAGAGTTGGAACATGTAGGACAAAAACACTAGTTAAGAACAAAAACTGTTTGCTACAGGTGTGGACTCCTCGCATCACTGGCAGGGTCGGGCCATACCGGGGTCTGTGGTTTGGGTCGCAGCGCCAGCCACGAGAGCCCCGACAGCACCAGAGAGGCGGCCAGAACAAGGCAGATGACGTCAGCACGTGCCTGCGCACTGGAAGTGGGTGGCAGGTGGGAGCGGATGGATGGCGTGCAGTGAGGGAAGGGGCGCACAGCCCGGGAATTCCACGGGTGTGCTAGACTTCCATGTCCAGCGACGGCACACATAAGTAGGTGAGGAGCTTATATCACCTGCCCGCGTCAGCGACGGCAGGAATGCCCCACACCACGCGGTTCACCAGCACCACCGCTCCGCCCGCTGCGCCTGCTGCGAGCGGCAGCAACCTGAGCGCGTCCGCATACCGCGTCACCCAATCTTCCGCGCCCGCGGCTGTTGAGGATGGCCCGCTATTGGTCGCAGAGCAGCGCACGCGATTCCCCTGACCTCCCCGGCTCAATTGCAGCGGGGAATGAGTGCGGGCTTTTGCCAGCTTAAGTTCCGGCATACTAATTTCTTTCCCGCCATGGACTATTCGAGGAGCGATGGAAAAGGCGGACGGACGAAGAAATGCGTGTCTGTGAGTTGATAATGAGGGCCGTCGCGCGATACTTGTGCATAATGGCTGCATATGAATATTCATGGTCAGCATGATGTTGAATGATTTGGAATGAGGGGCAAGGGGCAGCCAGGTAATGGCAGCTCAACCATACGTGGCTATCCAAACCCGTGATTGACTTCAAAACACTCGACAACATACTCATACGTTATGCAGTTTCCCTTGTATCGAGTCACCTGTGACCGAAGTTGGAGCTTTTGAGTGCTGTCTGGTCGCCACGTCAAATATAGGCCGTCAACCAATCAAATTGTGCGATCTGACTCTCGAGAAGCCAGGCGGGAAACAATTCCCCAGAAAATGTTAGGGCCTTAGCTGCGAACCCGAAATCTGGTAACCGCTAGCCGTCGCATATCCTTCTAGAACGTCAAGGATTGCCCCGTCACTCCACGTCCGGCCAATCGTGTGCGTCCAGCTGCTGGCGAAACCGCCTTGACCGACCTTCTGGACGTCGTCGCGGTGCTTCTGCGATTCGTTCGGATGCCGTCACTCGCGAGCCTCGCCTCATCCAAATGCAGTGATCCTCCTCCCCACTGACATCATCTCCTCTATCTCCTCTCTCCTCTCCCTGTTACTCAAATTCCTCCCTTCTGTCCGCACATCTTTTCGAGGATCTTCGTTCATTCATCTGCTTCTGAAGGCTAATCGCTCAGATTGCCGGCCTAAGAATGGCTCCGCGGAGCTGCCTTGTGGCGCTCCTCGCGTTCCTCCTTGTATTCCAGACGCTCTCAGGTACTTCCGAGCATAGCGTTGGCTCTTAATTTCATGTGTAGGTTTCGTAATCCGCGTTGGAAGCTAAACTCAACTTGCGTTTTCATTTCTCTTTGCAGCTGCGCCGCAAGTGCAGGCAGAGGAGACCAAGGACGTGGGTACCAATGGCGATCTTCCCAAGGTCGAGGAGCCGATCGGAGCCGTCCCTACTGGATCGACCACAGACACCCAAACCCAGGAGAGGTACGCATGCTCAATCCT